AATATTTGGTCTCACATTAAACACAAACTAGCTTGGCATTGTTTTTCAACTGTGTGAAACTATCAGTGCTGAGTGGCCAATTACTGACTTTTCTTTCTCTAAAAGGTTGTCTGTAAGTTTAATTTCTGAAACCCCAGAATTTGATCCAAGCAGGATGAGTATATGTGTGAATACTCTCTTGCATGTGCATTTTGTCTTTGCCTGTTATTCTATTTAAATGTCTTTATTAGATCTATGCCTTTATTTTACATTACATATGACAAAACATAAACCATACGTAAATACAGTGGAATCCAACATTCTGAAACCAAGGATTAAAATTCTTCTATTTGGCATTCTTTTCTAATTTAGTACAAAGTTTTTCTTTCAAATGATTTTATTAGCATAACAATTTGAGTACAATTTTTGAAATGTTTACATGTATCTCTCCTTTTTGCTTTAATGACTGTGTGCACTCAAGCTGACATGGACCCCAAAACATTGTGCTAAAGCCTCTGAAGAGTAGATTAAATCCACCTGAGAGTTATCTGAACACAAGCTTCCATGGATGGAATAAGATAAAAAATTGACCTTTTTTAAGGTCATGACATGGTCAATGTTGACAAATTTGGTAACATTTGACTAGTGACCTAGAAATAGTCCAGAATCTTGAATATCTTGTCTTTATTATCGAAATTCTAAAATGTTCTATTGTTTATTTCCAGGTTTAAACGGAAGAAAATTCAGATTTATAATGTGGTCTCAGACTTTTGGACATCACTGTGTTTAATAATATATGTCATGATGCTGTAATCGCCCTGCTACTTTCTTTGCTAACTACATTTCCTTAAATGTTTCTGCAGTATTGGTTGACTTTTTAGCAATAGGCTACTGCTTAGTTATCAGTGTTGTAAATCTGTTCATGTCAGTTAGCAGTGGTCCTAGTGTTCACATAAATGTATATTTTTATGAACTGTGTTTATAAATTTAGATTTTAGTTTGTTGGCCTTTTAAATTTATGGAATATTAAAGTTGTACGTAACCCCTTAAAATCCCGGGCTTGTGAACGGGGCTTGTCAGGTTCATGGAGTTAAAAACTTACAGATGTGACAAAAGAAAAACCAACATAAAGTGTCTTAGTCAAGTGTTGGGCCACCAAAAGCCACTAGAACATGGAAGCCTACAATTGTCCAAAATGTCTTGTTATGCTGCAGCATTAAGATTTCCCTTCACTGGAACCAAGGGTCCTAGGCCAACCCCTGAAAAACAACCCCATAGCATTATGCCTCCTCCACCAAACTTTACAGTTGGTATAATGTAGTCAGGCAGGTAACATTTCTCCTGGCATTCGCCAAACCCAGACTCGTCCATTAGGCTGCCAGGTAGAGAAGCATGATTCATCACTCCACAGAATACGTTTCCACTGCTCCAGAGTCCAGTGGCAGTGTGCTTTACACCACTCCATCTGATGCTTGGCATTGTGCTTGGTGATGTAAGGCTTGCATGCAGCTGCTCGGCCATAGAAACCCATGTCATGAAGCTCTCGGTGCACCCCGCTCTGTAACTTTACGAGTTACTGTGGTTTCTAAACGCTTCCACTTTTCAGAAATACCACAGTTGATGGTGGAATATCTAGGAAGGAAGAAATTTTGTGAACTGACTTGTTACAACGTGACATCCTGTTACAGTACCATGCTTGAATTTAGTGAGCACTTTAGAAGGACCCATTCTTTCACAAGTGTTTGTAAAAGCAGACTGCATGGCTAGGTGCTTGATTTTATACACCTGTGGCAGTGGGACTGAAGGAAACAACTGAATTCAAGGTTTAAGAGGTGTGTCCCAATACTTTTGTCCGTATAGTGGATAATTAGTCATAATAAGTTTGTACTGGTTTGCAGTGACCCTTCCTGCAAAAGGACAAGCAGACCCAAATCATGCCAACAAAATGCCCCTCACGGCAGAGAAGAGCCACCAGACACCCTCAGTGTAGGGGGACAAGCATTTAGGCCTGTGCTATTCTCTAGATATTCTCGTTTCCATAGCTCTAAATGTATATATGCCAGTTTAGTTACTGTTCCTCTTGAAACAATGGCCAGTTGAGGAGTCTGTTGTTGAAGCTCCTGCCATCTTTCAAAGTCACTTAGATCTTTTACTCTTCATCCAAGATTGTGGTCAACTGGACATTCTTAGGATTTTTATACAATTGTTTAATTGAGTTATTAGTACACCTGTCTGAAAACATCTGCGCTTGTTGTGTTAATTCACTCATTTATTCTGGATGTTCCTTGAATTTGTCTTCTGCCTGTAATTCAGAACCCAAAATACACCCAAATTCCTCTCTACCAGTTTTACCTGTGTGGCTAGATTTCCCATTATTCTTTTTCTACTAGTACTGGTCCCAACAAGATTTTCTGTTTTGTCTGCATTAATCTTAAGGAATTTTCTATTCATACAGTAAACAGTACTCTGTATGCAGCCTGTCAGGGCATTTAAGGCCATAGCACGATCAGGACATAAATTGTCCAAAAGTTTGTAGACACCTGCTCATCCAGTGTTTCTTTTTGAAGATATTAACGATTTAATTATAGACATTGCCTCACCTACCTCACAATACACTGAGCTCTTCACATATTCGTACTAACAGATCATCATCATAGGCTTCTATGGCACTAATGGTTTTCACTGTGATTCGCTCCTAACAGTAGTCACTGGTTTTCACTGATTTTCATAGACCTGTTTCTCTGAAAGGCCTCTAACAGTGGTTATTGCTTTTCACTGGTTAATCTAAATGCTTCTGTCCAATGATGATTTCTTTCTTTTTTTCTATATTTAATATGTATTTTTTTGGAAAATCTTATGCTTTATTCATATTACTCTTGTTGTATTATTGTTTTGCTATCTAGTGTTGACCAGAGGAGGAAGGGTTCCCCTTTTGGGTTTTGGTTCCTCTCAAGGTTTCTTCCTCTTGCTTTTACGGAGTTTTTCCTTGCCACTGTCGCTTGCTCATTTGGAGCTTGGACCCAGATTTTCTGGAAAGCTGCTTTGTGACAACACATGTTGTAAAAATGGTTGCTAAGTAAATACATACATACATACCTACATTCATATATACGTACATACATACATAAATAAATAGATCATAACTATTCATAGGCTGGTTGTTCCTCCTTTGCTGCAGTTCCAGCCTATTCCTCTGGACCTTACACTAGATTTTAGAACGTTGCTGTGAGTATGTGTGGATTTAGAGCATTAGTAAGGTCAGATGCTGGAGTTGTTTTTTACAAGTGCTGGTGTTGGTTAGGTACTAATGTTTGTTAGTTGGATGATTAGTTTGGGATGACTAATGCCAGTTCAGCTCATACCAAAGGTATTTGGAGGTGCTCTGTCACTCCAGAGAACACAGTTCCACTGCTCCATAGTCTAATGTTGAAGCCTTTTGTACCCCTCTAGCTGGCACTTGGCATGGTGACTTGGTATGTGCACAACTGAACACCTGTGTTAGTGGTGGATGCAACTTAAAGTAGCTGAATTCACTAAGTAGAATGCTTTTAGTGTATGTAAAGGTGAGTTTCATCTGGAAAACTTCACTGATGCCATATGTATTATTTTACCAAGTGGCAATATATATAGAGAGAGAAGAAGGGAATCAAGAATGGATCCCTGTGGAACACCTATAAGAATGTCATACTTTTTACCAAGAGTAATAAAGTGCTTTCTGTCATTTTGTTCCCATCAGCATTGACTCTGAAAAAAAAAGTTTCAGACGTTCAAGTTTTTAAAAACTAAAAGTCAAAAACATTTGGCTTGGGTTTAAGATAAGTGTGTGTGATGTGTTTGTGGGCTGTTGGGCATGTTAGGGTGTGAGAAAAGTCAGTGTGAAGTGAGAGGGTATCTGTTTCCCACATGTCTGAGTCTGGTCCAGAAGCTTATAAATCTAAATGCAGACTGAGCACTCTTCCGCTCTGTACACATTTTCAAACATGTTTTATTCTATTTTTGGTAATATCACTTACCCCTTTACCACCCATAGCTTTGAAACACAAAACTTCACAATGTTTGTAAAATATTAATAATAAAACAGTGCAGTATTCATCGATGTACAGTGCACATCAAAAGTCAAGGGACACCTTTTCTTTAAATTTTACCAGTAATGTTTGATTTCCACCGTTACTTTTCAAATTTTGCATGTAGAACAGTTTTTGCCTAAGTAGTAATTTAAGAGTTTTCTTTTCCAAATTGTTGTTGAAAGCATGTATTGAAAATGTAGTTTAAACATCTGAAAGGCTGTTTGAGTGCTGATAAATGCTGACATCACAACACAAAAGGGGTAAGGGGTATGGCATTATTCCCAAGATGGGATGTGACATTCCCTTTAGTTTTGCAAAAATATGTATTAAGATATAAACTTTTAACATGTTAAGTTATTGTGAAATGTATTGTTAACTGACAACCACAATGTCCTCTTCTATTAAAACCTTTCTCATAAATTGTTAACAGCCATGACAAGCAGTTAAATACATTAAACCCTGAGGACCTGCATAAGGACCCACACTGCAGTTCCTCACTTTATAATACATATATAACTATATATTACATCTGAATATCTGTAAATCTGGGTACTGTTTTGACTTATGACGCCCTCCATGTAGTTTTCCGCCATGAAAGGAGAAAATTCCTTTTAGGCCAAAACCTTATCTCAAAACTATCGTTAAACAATGCGACAGGCATCAGGCAGCATATTTGTAATCATTTCATGAGTTAGGTTGTGGAGGCATTAAATATTTCAAGTGTCTGGTTCCTATCACCACCACTGTAAACAATTCTGACTCTGTAAATTTCTCTATAATGGAGCATTTGATGTCAAACCACTCTGAATAACTTAATTATGAAGATTTTTTTAATTGGTGGAACATGAATAAGACTAAAATTCAAGGAGCTGATAAGTCTTGCTAAAATCAGATGGATGTTAATGCTGTCTTCCTACTCATGCGCTTCTCTATTCCATTCTTATCTTTGTGTAGCTGTATGGAGAGTACAGAGAGCACCCAGGAGGGTCCCGTCGGCGAGAGGCTACCCGTCTGCTGACAGAGAGGCAGCTGAAGAAGCATGGTGCCCATCACCATCATCATGGACACCATCACCATGGGCACCACGGTCACCACGGCCGGAGCCACAGCCGCCACCGCAGCCGCCATCACCTGGAGCTGGAGAAAGGAAGCTTTCGTGATGGACAAAAACCTGAGGAGACCCATACATCTTCCATAAAGACACGACGCTCCTACTCCAAATGCAAAGGTTTGAGTATATTAAGTATCCTTAATAAGTATACTTTTCTTGTTTTAGTTACAATTTAGGTCTCTTTTCAAAAGAGGAATTAAAAAAAAAAAATGCTCTGTCTACTTGGACTTGGACGAGCTTAACAGAACATTGACAAAAATCACTTTAAACTTTGGGAGCAAGAGCTTTCTTCCACTGACCTTTTTTTAAATTAGGATACTGTTTATTCTAATCTCAAACTTTGAGGTTTAGCCACTATAAAACAGCTCATAACAGAAGAAACCAAAAATTTCCAACTAAAACTACAGTATTTTTAACACCACATCTGGTACATTTATGCACATGATCTGGGAATGTCCTAAAGTAGTAGGTCTATGGAAATTTACAGGGTATGTGCTATCCAATTATTTAATATTAATTAAATGTTTAATTTCGTTGTTGCCTCATCTGTGTCTGTTTCTGGTTCTCATATGGCTTCTTGTTTAAGCAGTATTCTGCACGTTTTACATCATGGCTACGTAATCAAGGAGAGCGGGTGCTAGACTGGCCTGCCTGCAGTCCTGACCTGTCTCCTGTTAAAAACATGTGCCGCAGTATAAAGTGCAAAAAGAAACAAACAAAGTGCAAATGAAGTCCCTTTATTGTTGCACCTTTGAAGACTTGTATAACTTAAGAAAAACAAAACAGTTTCTCTATCAGTTTGTGACTTCATTACCCAGATGTATTAAGTGGCAAACATGCTTCTGTCCAAACTTTTGTGGATTGTGTTGCAGGCATCAATTTTGTAATGAGTGTTTATTTACAAGCGACACTAAAGTTCATTGGGAAAAACATCCAGTATTGTGTTTTTGTACTGTTTTCAATTTAATACGACTCAGACAGATATTATTAATTGCAGCCTTTTGTATATATTAGCATTCCCCTCCCAATTTTTTGGGAATTGAGGTTTGTATGTTGTCAAGGCTCACATAAGAAATAAATGACCTTAGTATAGCCTATGATTAATTGTAAATATAATGCATTTTATTCAAAATAATTATCATGGTAGTTCTTAATTATCATGTTAGCAAATAGCTCTGTTTAACTTATTATTGTCTTTTAACTCAATCATTTTCTTCATGCAGACTGTGTGGCTCGAGTACAGAAGTTTCTAGTAAATAAATTAGGAGAAGATTGGATCTTCCTAGTGTTCCTGGGTATTTCCATGGCATTAGTCAGTTGGAGTATGGACTATGCCAGTGCCAAAAGCCTCCAAGGTACAACAGCGTCTCTTATCTCTGGAGTTCCCTGCTCTTGCTTTGGAGTCAGTTTCAGCAGTGCAGTGCTGTAGAACAGGTTTAATGTAACAGGTGTGTTGGCCAACACTCCCATGTTAAGTAAACAAGTAAACTCTGAACTCAGATACAACTTTCTGCAACATGTGACTGCTGACCTGCTCCACTGATAGTTGGGAATTGTGTATATAGGTGGTTTAAGTTATCTTCATTTGCTTAATTTGGTTAACTATCCATTCTGTTTTCTTCTACTTTTCCGAGCTTAAATTTGTTTACAACATTTTAACGCTGCTCCAACTCCCTTGCTTCTCTCCACTTTGCTTTCTTTTCCCTTCTTCTGTTACCACTTATCTCCTCCGTTGCTACCATGACCTCTCTCTAAGCTTATAAGTGGGTGTATGGGGAGCTGAGTGGAAATGTGCCTTTGCAGTACTTGGTCTGGGTCTCCTATCCAATGGTGCTCATCATGTTCGCCTCCTTCTTCTGCCACCTGATTGCTCCTCAGGCCATCGGTGTGTACCCTGTGCTCTTCCCTAAGCCATTACTGTGTACATGCCCTGTGCTTTTTGTGCAGCATCTTCATTGTAACTTACTTTGTTTCATTAACTGTCTTTAATAATAGACAAAACATGCCAGTTTTAACATTTGGTACTCCTCACTGCTTCCACTGCTTGCTGTGCTGCTCCCATAATGGCACTGTGGACTGGTAAAATTCTGGACCACGCCCTAAACTGAGCTTGAGACAGAGGAGGGGAACTATGAGAAACTTGGGCAGGAGTTCTTGGTGGCTTTGCTGTGGTCGAGGAAGCCGGACCCCCTCTGTCGCTCAGAAAGAGAGAGTGGCTGTGGAAGAGTAGGAGGAGACTGGGTGGTGGTGGGTTGCAAAGTTTCTGTCACAAGAAACTGGGAGGGTAGGGGAGAATTTATAAGATGTGTGATGGAGGAAGAGGAGTTTTGTGCATGGTTCCTATCCCAAACTTATTTCATAATTCCACTTAGCGAGCACAGCTGGCTGTAGTTTTGCTATAAATCTACCTACCATTTAAATAATAAGCACAGACAGGCTAATTTGAATTGTGGAGGTGCTAATACACACATCCACCCAGAGTATGCTTTGATCAGTTGTAAATAGATGTAAATAGATCTCCTGTCCAGTCTTATGTCTCTGTGCCTGTCCATTCTCCTGTCCACCTCTTGTCTCTTTGCCTGTCCAGTCTCCTGTCCACCCCGTCTCTGTGCTTGTCCAGTCTCCTGTTTCAAGTCCGATGCTGTCTCCTGGTCCTGTCCTGTATAGGGTCTAGGGTTCTTAAAAACCCCTGTTAAGTTTTTTATAAATTCTTCTAGGAACCCACAAAGGTACTTAGGGTTTCTTCAGGAACCTTGAGCCAAAACACTACTTGATGGAACCCAGTTAGGAAGTGAAAGGTTGTTAGAGCTTGTAGATTAATTAGTGTTTTGTGCATTTATACGCCTGTCTTGGCTCATGTTCCTTGTCATGGAGTTTGTGTGTATTTGGTAGTTTGCTCTTCATTTTAGTTTGTTCCCTGTCATGTCTTCTTTACTCCAGTTTGTTTCATGAATGCTCATATGCAATCTGCACCTGCCAGCTCTATATTAATAAACTTTCCAACTTTCAAATGCTTCCCCATCCTTGCCTGCTTTTATGTTACATTGCTCTAATGCCCTGCTCTAATTATCATTTGCACATTTGCATTATCTTTAACTATTATGTACTCTGTGGCAAAGAAATGTTTTAATTCATCTACCTGCAGTGTCTGGTGGAAGCCCAAATTTTACTGCTACCACTACTACTACTACTACTACTAATACTTGTACTAATACTACTACTTCTACCACTGCTGCTACTACTATTAATGATTTAAAAAAATAATAATAATAGATAGAATGTTCACTTAGAATTTAAGTAAATACAGTTAACTTCATTAAACAGCGCGATTATATAGTATTCTTATTATATTAACAGTGGTGTTAAAATTGAAGCATCGACATTACAGTATCATCATCTAGTGCTGGCCAAGGAGCAGTAGCGGATACCTCTGGGTTCTCCATGGATTAGTTTGAAAATTCATTTTACAATTCTGACGTGGTGTGTCTACTGCTATTTCATGAATAAATCCATGAAGACACATTTAGCTAGCTGTCTAGCTAGGTCTAAATTATAATGACAGACAGTTATTAGCATAGTAAGATTTCTGCTTGCACACACTTACGCATATGTCTACAGTTGCCCTAAATCACACGTCAATGAGTCACATGAGTCAAGCAAAATTAATAGTGTAAAAATATGACCAAGAGAAGCAACTCATTCTCTAGATGCTAGTATGTATGTTAATAGTACGAGCATTATAGCCTCTGAGCTACCTGACATTAACTTGGCACACTGTTTATAGAGTAAGAATTCTTAAAATGGCAATCAATACATAACATTTTTTTGTTTACATTCCAGTGCAATGATTTGTTACATACATGCTTGGTGGCTGTTATCAACTGGAGCAGTAAACAATATCTAAATAAGGCTGCTTATAGAGCAAGATGAAAGAAAATATTTCAGTATACTGCAAGACATATTACTGCAAGGTCTATCACAGTTGTAATATGTAGCAATGTAGTTGCACTACTAGTATTTTTTCCATATAGTGCAGTCGTCCTTTGTACCATTTTTTGTACAGCAGCGTCTAGTGAAGTGGTTCCATACTGATCCTAAAGGGCTAGAGGCCCTTCAACACATTTTTCTGTATTAGTCCATGTAAACACTCTGTAAATATTTATAAAAATCAAAAGCCTCTTAACTTACATGCACTTGGCACTATTTTAAATAATTTTGCATTCATATTTAGATCTTTTGGTTCTTTTGTTTCAGCTGTGTAATCCTAAACCTGAAGGGAAACTTGTTCATTGTTTATCATTTGTCATTGGGTCTGGACTGTCACTTTTCCCTCCACACACATCCCTCCCCCTTCATCTTTCTCTTGTTCTCCTTTAGGTTCTGGTATCCCTGAGCTAAAGACCATCCTCAGAGGGGTTGTGCTGAAAGAATATCTCACACTTAGGGCTTTTGCTGCCAAAGTGGTCGGACTTACTGCTGGACTAGGTAGCGGAATGCCAGTAGGCAAGGAGGTAAAGCTTTCCACTACACGTTCTCTAACCTTATCTCGTACTGCTTCAAGTACCTGATAGGCTGTAACTTGTCAGTCATTTGTCTTTATGTGCTCAGGGTCCTTTTGTACACATAGCCAGTATCTGTGCCGCTTCGCTCAGCAAGTTTATGTCCTTCTTCTCTGGAGTCTATCAGGTAAGCAGAAGTCAACGAAGGTTAATTGTAACTTTTGTGTTTCAGAATTTTTCTTATTTAAGTAATGCTATAAATGTATTCTGAGGGCTTTGTGGAAAGATAAATATAGTTAGAATTCAGGAGTTTTAAACAGTTTGTTTTCTTTTGATCTGAAACAGTTCTATTTCATTACTCCTCACCACTAGAGTAGAGTGTTCGAGACATGTTCAGAGCACCAGAGCAGCGCAAAATGTGCCTTGATGTGACCCCACTGTCGGGACCAAGGGCTATCCACTTAAACCCCAGGCCTCCAACATAATATTATGAATAAAGCAGAAATATTTTAATATTGGCCAAACACTTTCACTAATAACTGTTGTAAGTCTAAGTTCTCAAAAGATGTCAAAAAGGAAAGCAACTCGGCCCTCACTTCACTGGGTCAGTAAGTACATACAGGCCTCTCTGTGAACTCAGGGGCTTTCCACGGTATAGAATCTCCTATGCAGACAGACTAAGGCCTACCCTTTATGAGAATTAATATTCTCTGTTAGCCAATTCTACCCATTTGGTTATTGATTACAATATCTATTCTGTTTGATTACAAAATCTCTGTCACCACAGTGCTCTTGAATTCAGTATTAAGTCTACTAAGACTGCAGCTTATCATGCAGTCGGCGCATAACACCACCCACTAACTGCTCACTTGTGAGGCGCAGCGCTTAAAAGAGGCAGTGAAATAGTGGAGTCATCAACAAGCTTGAGGCAAAACAGAAAATAAGAAAATCAGTAATGAAGAGATAACAGTGTTAATAAATGAAGTTCTTTCCCACCAGAATATTCTACAGATTGTTATTTTACTCTGGCTAAGAAAATAGAGTTTGTGAAACAATAAAATGAACTCTGCACAGATTAAACTGTGATATTCTGTTGCTAAACATGTTTATTTGCCAACATCTTTCAGCACATGTTCGAGGCTAGTGTCTCCATGTAACCACTGCGTGTGCCATAGAAAGTCTCCCAACAACACATTTTTTAGACCCTAATGCAAATGTGTGCCTGGTTTTGAAAAACAACCACCGCAGGTTCCTTTAGTGAATGCCACTGAATATGTCAGCCGCACAGGTAATATCTCCCCCTGCTTTTTTTGCAGCCGTCCTATGTTTTTCATGGCCCTTCTGCAAGTACACATGTATGAGGGTGCATTTTACCATGCACATGGGAGAATGCATGTGATTTACACCTGAAAGGGTTACAAAAGGCTTTGTGCATAGGGCCCACTGAGTATGAAAAGCTTGGTGTACTTATTACAAAGTACTTTTAGTATAGTGAGTGCACGGCTAATTGTAACTGCACATGTTTCAGTAAAGTCATATGGGTCAACGCGGGGGTTGCAGTGCTCCATGGCTGTATTTCCCAACACTGGTCCTGGAGGCTCACTGCCCATTTTAGTGCTTTCCTGGCTTTAACCCACCAAATTCAGCTCACTTGTTATTAAGGGGTTATTAATTAATTGAATCAGGCATGTTGGTAGCAGGGAAAACACCAAAATGTTCAGAGCAGTGAGCCACCAATAATGATGCCATTCAGTAAATGTACTGGAAGATGGAACACCTGCTAGGCATTGCTGCCAGTCGCACTTCCTCCGGTGCCCACGGGTCAGCTGCAGGGTCATCAGCCAGGAACCACCATTCATTAACGTTTCACTCCTTTGATCCTGGAATGTCTCCTGGTGGCGGAGCTGTGACAGGGACGTCTCCCTGTCACCCCCTACAGCTGATAGGTGTTACCCTGTTGTCGGGGTTAGTTGTTCTTTCCCCAGCACTTGTCTCTCCTCCTCAGCCAGAACCAAAAGCTCCCCCACCCCCCAGCCACCTCCGCTAGCTCTTTGGTTGCCTTCTTTAGGTTCCCTCTAGTCCCACAAAAGGCGTGTGGTTGATAGCCCCACATAGCCTCAGCATCCAACCTCCACTGGATAGATGGTAGTCTCCAGCCAGCCTCCCGGCACTCAGCAGCCAGTTCTGAGTACTTGGCCTTCTTGCGTTCGTAGGCAGCCTCCATCCCCTCCTCCGCTGGGATTGTGAGCTCAATGAGGAGCACGGACTTTGCCTTGGTGGACCATACCACTATGTCAGGGCGGAGAGATGTAGCAGTGATCTCAACCAGGAAACGAAGCTGCCTGTCGAGGTCGACTCTCATGTTCCACTCCTGATCAGGGGAAAACGGCCAAGGTGTTTCTCTTGGCCTGATGTTTTTTCCTCCCCCCACCTTCCGTAACAACATTAAACATTAAAGTGCAATCTGGTGGAAAATAAATAATGCAGGTATTTAATAGATATGTTTTGTTTTTGTTGCTTTTTTGTTCTGACAAATCTGTGCACTGACAAATTGAAAAAAGTATACTCAGTTAAGATACTCAGTGTAGGAGTGTGTGCTCCCATACAAGCCAATTCCACTCAGCTCCTTAGGATCTTTATGCAGATTTTAAATGTCATACAGGTGTGGTAATTCACAGTGGGTCATTGTTATATCAGTAATATCATTATTTAGAAATAATAATTTAGAAATCAAACTGGTAGAAGTTTTCATCACAGAGACATTAAATGCATTCAGTGATTTCCCTTTCATTTCCATTTAATATTTCTTCAGCTTTCTGTATCTCTGCTTTATCTGTTCGACCCACCCTCTCTTTCTGCCCTTCTGTGCCAGTAGAGCCCATACTGCTACACAGACATCCTCACAGTCGGTTGTGCAGTGGGGGTAGGCTGCTGTTTTGGCACCCCTCTTGGAGGTAGACTTTGAAAGTTTATTTATGAATATCATACATAAAACTAGCTAGATTCATTCTTCTGTTTTCTCATCTTTTACAGAGCAAAAACTCAGTGAATTTAAAAGATTAAAATGTACACATCATTACATAATTTTTACATTCACATAGTTGTTCTTCATATTTTTTATATCCTTTATGTATTTTATTCATATAGAAATGCACACAATTGAATCAAGTAAATTCAATGCTGTATTTTTTCAGCATGAGCACTTTTGTTTATTTAATGACGCTGCCATGGCAACAGGTTGCAATAACAGCCCGCTGGACTGTAAATGAAAGAAGTAGACACTTTTATTTCACACTGAGCTTCTTGTTATAAATATCCCTGACCTTTTGTTTAATTCTTTCTTCTCTAGGAGTGTTGTTCAGCATTGAGGTTACATCAACCTACTTTGCAGTGAGAAACTATTGGAGGGGCTACTTTGCTGCCACATTCAGTGCCTTCATATTCAGGGTGCTTTCAGTGTTTAATAAAGATACTGGTGAGATCATACCACAGTTTCTGCTCCTTTGAAAATGTGTGTATTCTTTCCATGTCCTTGTACCCAAATTCTTGTTTTATATGAACTGAGCAAGCCTGCTGTCTTAATGTCCCTTTCTTCCTACCCCTTCCTCTTCCAGTCACCATCACTGCTCTCTTTCGTACCAAGTTCCGCATGGACTTCCCCTTCGACCTGCAGGAGCTGCCAGCGTTCGCCGTCATTGGGTGAGAGCGCGGGGCAAGAGCGTGCCGTTCGTGGTGAGGGTACAGTCCTGGAGCTATGTGTGCTATAGTGTAACCCCCTATCACAATACCACAAACCCCTTTTTCAAAGCACACAGCACGGTTCTTGTGCACCATAACTTCATCATTTTTGTCAGTTGAAGGCCCAGTTTCATCACATAAACCTCCACTGATTTTAAATATTTTAATTGTTTTTAATTTATCATTAATATGTTTGCCTTGCATGTCTGTTCATTCATTTGGTGTGACATTAACACCTCTATGCTAAAAATAGTGCCTCACTCTAGATAGTATTGGCAAAACCCAGAAAAAGTGTCCCGGGGCCATATTGTTGGCAGTCCACCAGCACAGGGTGTATGAGCAGTCGATGCGAGCTGCTGTTTCAGAAATAAGATATAAAGAGAAAAGTCAGTTTGATCAGAAATGTTGATCCGTAATGGATCAATAGGTTATCTTTGAGTCCTGATTATGCGCTATTGCCTGGGATAACATGTCTAGCTGTCTATAATTTCCTTGTAAGTACTGCATCAGTGAGTAATAGCTCCATATAAGAGCTGTAGACATAAATAGTTAGATTGCAAAAGTCATTCATCAATCAGTGCCACCCAAAAATGAGCAAAACTACAGATTGCATCCTTCACCACTGTCTGTCTGTGACAAAATGAAGAGAGCAAACTTTGGTATAGGGAGATGGCTGAAAGTTTTTTCCCTGTTTATTCTCAAAGTCCAAAGATTTCTCCTTTGCTGGTTCAGCTCTTCAGTCTCTTTTCTCTCATGACATCAGACAGCCGGGATAATATAACGTTACAACCTTGAATCACAAACCACACAATGGCTATATATTATCTGTCATGATGCATTATTAACTAACAGTGTACAAACGCTGGCCACTGTCATCGCCGCCTTCAGCGGTGGTATGTCAACAATATGCCAGCATCAGTGTAGTGTCAATCGAATACTATCTGTAGAAACTCATGGGGAAACTGACAAGGAGGTTAACTGTTTGTTATGCATTCTGAAAGTCAGCTTATTTCACACATACTGTTTCAACTTGTTTGCAATTGTTGATAGAAGTAATGCTTTGCCTAAAATGGTAGTATTGGTCGTAGTGAAAGTTAATATGGCCTGTTAGCATTACAAGGACTAGGCAACATGCTAACCGGTCTATGTTAGCTTTCACTATTAGCCTTTTTTTGTGTTACCATGTTAGGGGGATGATAAGTTTTATTGCAGTCAACAAACAAACCAGACAAGGAATCAGTAGCTTTAAAGCATTTATTGCCTGTCCTAGATGTGTTCTGAACTAAACGTAGGCCAACTAATATGGAATGACTGGATCGCAAACATTTGACTTGGTGCAGTCAGAATGCTGATGTTGCTAAGAGTAAAGTGAAGCTGGTAGCAGCATTAAGTAGCACAATGTTAATTGGTGGCTATTCTATTTTGTTGTTAGCAACATTAGCATTAGCATCATATTTGCCTCTCATTTTATGGTCCATACTATTTATACATTATTTGTAATTTATTTAGACTTGACCATGAGGTACAGTAGGTCACCTGATCAAATGCTTGTTTTTGTCACTCACCCACACAGCATTTCTTGTGGTTTTCTTGGAGCTTTCTTCGTCTACTTGAACCGGCAGGTTGTCCTGTTCATGAGAAGACCCAATACCCTTACACGCTTCCTTACCAAACAGTAAGAGAGAAGTGGACATAACACTAAACGGCTTTCATTCACAGTAGTCCAACATAATATAAAAGGACTGGGTTTTAGAACTGCTTTAGTGAATATAATTCTAAATACTGAAATCAGTTTTTAGGAAATGATGACTGAGTAATATTTGTTTCCACAGCCGGCTGATTTTTCCAGGAGTTGTTACTTTTTTGGTCACAACGTTGACATTCCCTCCAGGATTTGGACAGTTCATGGCAGGAGAGGTTAGACATAGACCACATAGCAATTATGTCTAGTTGGCATGGCAATCTGGTCTAATCTTGTGTTTATATTTGCTAGACCTAACAAATTTATTTCTACATGGTGTCGTTAGTTTACCTTTGAAACAAATGGCTGGCCTTTTTTTTCTTTCTTAATTGTGTTAGTACTAGGCTACTGTTTAAAAGTTTGGAATCACTTTTCATATTGAAATTTTTGCTATTTTCTATGCAATAGCAGCAGTATAATTAATAGCAGTATGATTTAAGTATAATGTTATCTGCCTCGAGATTTGGTCATGTCTTTTGAAATATGAGGCATTCTAGATATAAATCTTTTTTTTTTTTCTTTCCTTTCCTTTTTTTCCACAGCTTCCTAACTTTCTACTAATTATTTGAAACCTGTGAAGTGGCACAGGACTAGCATATACGAATCATTTTATACATTTATCTGCTAACAAATTGGTTTGTCCTATCAAAAATATTGATTCTAACTTTTGAATCCAAGTTTCCTTTGGACAGTAGTGTACAATTACTATTTCCCTCATAACACAGCTAATGCCCCGAGAGGCCATCAATTCTCTGTTTGATAACTTCACCTGGACTAAGATTTGGGGGTCCCCCACCCCACCTGGTCTGGGACGATCTTCTGCCTGGTTTCATCCTGATGTCAATGTCTTCATCATACTCCTTCTTTTCTTCATCATGAAGGTAAACCTCTTTGTTTATGTTCAGTTTTCCATCCCTGTCCTTTCCAGTTATATTTTCACCTTGCTTGCTGCATTGGCACTATTTGTAGACCAGCATGATCGTGATGATGATAAAAATATGATACATGAAGATATTTTTTTTGCTAATTTTTGCCTTTTGTTTCTGTAATCTTCTGCAAACACAGTTTTGTCTGTCCCTCTTTCCTGCAAAGCCTAGCCTGTTCCTCCTGATTCAGCTCAAATAATAACAGGTTAAAATGGCAGTGTTTGACAGACACAGTCCTATGCTGAGAGAGCTAGTGAAGGATTATATGATCCCGGGCACACAGCAGATATCATGCTTCAGGAGACTTGCTGAGACTTGCACTTAGAGGATTACAGTATGCAGTAGCTGTTGCCCTTCGTAAGTGACTGGGAGCAGCCACAGTGAGCTGTTCTGTCACATGAGCCATTCTACCACATCAGACTGTTTATGCTACAGCGTATAAAAAATATCAGTTAGCAGCTTTAGAAATCAGACACGGACACTAACACTGACAGAGAAAGCAAATGTTAAGACATTTGGGATTTTTAATAATTTGCTTTTAGATGTTTTGGGGAAAATTAATCTGATTTCGTCTCTCTCATTTTACAGTTCTGGATGTCAGTTGTTTCAACTACAATGCCCATCCCTTCTGGAGCCTTCATGCCAGTGTTTGTACTTGGTGTGTTTGTAGCTGATCTATCATCATTTTTTTCTTCTTGTTCTTCTTGTTTTTCTCATTCTTATTGTAAATAATAATAATAATAATAATAACAACAACATAGTCTTAGGCTGAAGTATTTTACTTTTAATAAAAAGTTGGGCATTTACCAATAATGGAATTTGTCAATTTAGCCCTGCTGTAGTAAAATTGGTACACTTTACATTAATAATATATAATAGCAATAAGTCAGTGGTTACCTATCATTATTATGTGACTCAACTAATCATTAAGTATTAGTTATTAATAAATAAAAGATTAAGTACTTAGCAATTAGTCACTGAGTACACTGTTAACTGACAGTTTACTTCAACATTTGCTTGTGTACTTAAAGGAAGTTTCCGCTGATTTTTCAAAATTTCTCCATAATTTTGTCTTTACGATGTAAACAAAATCATATAGAGTGATTTGATGTGAATTGCAACTTAAAGAGTCTGAATAGTAGTGGTGATAAGAACCACAACAGTGTTCAGATTTTCTTGACAATGAACTGTTTCACATCAAAACACTCTGAATTACTTTGTTTACATCATAACTAAAATTATAAATGATTATACATAAATTTATTTATTCTTTTAAATTGGATTTCCCCTTTAGGGACTGTCTGCTGATTGAAATGATTTTGATTTACTAGTGTAGTTGTGGTTTGAAAGTACTTTAGTTAACGTTACTAAATGACGATTAGGAATCAGATCTTAACCCCTTTCTGCAGGCTCAATAGTGGCTATGTTGCTGACAGACTGGAAATTGACTCAGATATTTTAAATATGATTAAATACACTATTTGTCCCCGTTATCAGATTAACTAGGACACTTTCTCTGTGTGAAATATTGTGACTCTTTGTTTAGCTGCTAGTGAGCAATAAGGGGTGAAAGAGGAGGGTTATAACCCCAGCTGTCAAAACAGTTAACACCTTTTCACAAAGACAACTATGCCGAGATATAACTGCAACTTTCTTCATATCTGAAATTATGCTACAAAAAACAATTTTACAAGTGTTGACTTGCTTGCTCACTTGCTAAGATGAAATTCTAGCTTGCTCTCAGTTTTGTAAATCATACAAATTTCCATGAAAACATATTTCATCAACATTACTGAGGAAAAAAATGTATAGTGTACAAACTCTGGGACTTCCAAAACAGGTGGAAAATGACATTTTGTGACTACTACGAAAAGGGGTTAACATTTACTTTTCATAGCAAAACAATGACAGTTCTTATCAAGTGCACAAACATTTTATAGGCCGTCTGTAGTGAATTGGTTTTCCCTTTATATATCATACTCTCTCTGTTGTGCTTTTGCTTTCATAGGTGCATCATTTGGTCGTCTGGTGGGCGAGATCATGGCTGCTCTCTTCCCTCATGGCATTTTGTTTGATGGGATACTCTACCGCATCATCCCTGGAGGGTATGCTGTCATTGGTTAGTCGTCCCTCCTACTTCTTGCTTTTCTTGTTAACGCTTTACGACCGAAAATATACTTAAAAACTTGTAAAATGAAAATAATTACTTAATCCCTGTAGCTTGGTCAGTAGTAACAAGGCTCAAGATATAAACCACTCTGATCTGGTAATGCAGTGCCAAAGAAAGAACAGTACACGCTGTTATGTAACTGAACTGAACTGAACCATATTTCCGTTATGCTATTTCATTCAATGATGTTTCATTAAGCTTAAGTCCTGGTGTGTTCATATGGCTCTTGTGAACTCATAAACACATTAATATTTTAGTTTAAAACCAGTTGCATAAAACAAGTCTTTTTAATAACAGCCACTAACAAAAAGCAACTAAATCTAATAGTTTGTTAATGATTGCAAACTCAGCTACGCCCCTGAGTTTTGCAGATGGCTGTGATTGGACGATTTTGGAACATTTACCAACTGCCCAAGCTATCTCCTCGTACTTACTTGAGCAAACTGCGAAGCAGATTGTGTTTGCGTGTTTATGGTGGTCCATCAGATAGATAGAACATTTTTTTTTTCCATATTTTGTGAATTACAGCCACAAGAGAATTAAAGACCACGAAAATAAAAAAAATGCCCAAAAGTTGTTTAATTTAGGCCTGTGATGTCCATATGGTACATAGACCCTAAGTGGCTGTGGTAATAAAAAAAAACGAACGGCTTTCCTTCGCAATGATTTTTGTGAGAGAATGCAAAAGTACTGCAAGGCAACACAATATTGCTGCAATTTTTTATTGATTTATTTCATGGGAAGGGGGCCATATTAGCACTCAAGTAGCTTTTGGTGCTTCATTAGAGCGATGCTACACATTAATGATGCTTTAATATCAATGCTACAATATTTTTGTTACAACACTTGTAACTTTTCAAGGACCAGTGCTACCTGCTCAAAATATTTATGTACAGCCCACCCTTGTAATGGTAAAGAACTATGTTTGCAATTTCAGAGTAGACATGGGTTGCCTTCATTTCTTTCGAGTGTTGCTTGTTTTGATATATCATTTTTAAGAGCTCATGCATTGCATTGCAAGGAGTAAGTGTACTATGCCACTCTGCAATTCAAATTCATTTAAAACGCCAGACAGGATGTACAACCCCATTTCCAAAAAAGTTGGGACGCTTTACAAAATGTAAATAAAAATAGAATGCAATGATAGGCAAATCATGTAAACCATATTTTTAAAGGAAAATACCACAAAGACAGCATATCAAATGTTGAAAATGAGAAATTTTATTGTTTTTTGAAAAATATATGTCCATTTTGATTTAATAACAACAACATGTTCCAAAGAAGTTGGGACGGGGGCATGTTTACCACTGTGTTTCATCACCTCTTGTTTTAGTAACACTCTGTAAGCATTTGGGAACTGAGGATACCAATTTCTGTAGTTTTGAAAGTGAAATGTTTTCCCATTCTTGTCTGATACAGCATTTCAGCTGCTCAACAGTTCGGGGTCTCCTTTGTCATATTTTTTCATTTAATGTGCCAAATGTTTTCAGTGGTGACAGGTCTGCACTGCAGGCAGGCCAGTTTAACACCCAGAGTCTTTTAATACAGAGCAATGCTGTTGTAATACGTGCAGGATGTGGTTTTGCATTGTCTTGCTGAAATAAACTGAAAAAGACGTCATCTGAATGGTGGCATGTTGCATTAATGGTGCCTTCACAAATGTGCACAGCACCCATGCCATGTGCACTGATGCACCCCATACCATCATGAATACTGGCTTTTGAACTGTGCACTGATAACAAGCAGGACACTTTTCCACTTCCCCTCAGTCCATTTTAAATGAGCTCAGGCCCAGAGAAGGTGGCAGCATTTCTGGATCCTGTTTATGTACAGTTTCTTCTTTGTGTTTACGTTTTATGAACTGTTTTCACAGACACTGGTTTTCAGAAGTGTTTCTGAGCCCATGCAGTGATTTCCACTGCAGAGTCGTATCTGTTTTTAATGCAGTGCCACCTGAGGGCCCAAAGATCATGGCAAGCAAATACTGGTTTTTGGCCTTGTCCCTTAAATACAGAGATTTCTCCGGATACTCTGAATCTTTTAATGTTATTATGTACCATAGATGATGAAAAGCAAAAGTTATTTTACGTTCAGAAACATTATTCTTGAATTGTTGCACTATTTGATTGTGCAGTCTTTCACAGAGTGGTGAACCCCTCCTCATCTTTACTTCTGAAAGACTCAGCCTCTCTGAGAGGCTCTTTTTATACACAATCATGTTTCTGACCTGTTGCCAGTTACCCTCCAGGTGGTTTTTTAGCATTACACAACTTTACCAGTCTTTTATTGCCCTCGTCCCAACTTTTTTTGGAATGTGTTGTTGGCATCAAAAAACAAAAATAAAATTTCTCAGTTTCAACTTCTGATATGTTGCCTTTGTACTATTTTCAATTAAATATGGGGTTTAAATGATTTGCACATCATTGCATTTTGTTTTTATTTGCATTTTGCAGTGTCCCAACTTTTTTAAAAATGAGGTTGTACATTCTTTGATCTCAAGTTGAAAAATATACTTATATATTTTTTACTTTTTTCCTCTTCTGTCTTTTTCTCAGTCATTTTTTTTTCTTTTATTGTTCTCTCTAATGATCTCTCATTTATCTTGTGTTTTCTTGCAGGTGCGGCAGCATTGACAGGGGCGGTCACTCACACGGTCTCCACGGCAGTGATATGTTTTGAGCTGACTGGTCAGATCTCTCACATTCTCCCAATGATGGTAGCAGTTATCCTGGCCAATATGGTAGCCCAGGGGCTTCAGCCTTCACTGTATGACTCCATCATCCAGGTCAAGAAGCTGCCCTACCTGCCTGAGTTGGGCTTCGGACATATAAGGTGAGATGACACCATGGTACACAAATAAACACAAGGCTGTACATCTAACAAGCAGAAACATCACGTATGCAGTAAGATTATGTTTACAGTACCAGGTTGAAATGGCACAAATCCAGCTGTTTCCCTTAATGTGATACAGACCCAATTTTATCATACTTATTTTATTGTTTGTAAATGCTAATTTAGGTGCATATCCAATATATGTATCCAATATATGACTGTTAGACATGTCATAAAAACTGGGATAGACCAATATGGGAATTCTGGGCCAACACAGATATCCAACATTTTTTCATGTCATATGCAAAAGTTTAAGTTCCCTTGGTCAAATTACATGTTTTGTTGATTTTCGAAGTCAAAACTAATTCACACATCCTCTACAGAGAACACATTCTAAACAATTTTATGCGCACTTACTGTTTATTTGCTAAATTTAATATATTGGGAAAAAAATATAAAAATTATATATATATATATATATATATATATATATATATATATATATATATATATATATATTCATGGCCTGTGAATTTTAGGATTTAGTTTTTTCTAATGTGTTAAACTCAGCAAAGAAATAGAAATTCTGCACTACAATTTGTAGATAAATGCTCTAAAATTTGCAGAACAATGTTTTGTTCCCTGTAGAGATGCCAGTGTTGGCAATTTGGTGGTTACCTCCATTTCAGTAATTTACTTTTGTTGTTTGTGATGCATATAGATCATTTGATGTTATTGATTTGGTTGTGGGCATTGTGGGCAAAAAAACGGAATTGAGCAAAAAGGCTCGTAACTTGAATGGAGCAAAAGTGCAGTGAGCATAGCCTGCTGAGAGTGTTACAGAGTGCCTGTGATTCATTATCAGTGTTCCACACTACTAGGGCTTAGACTTGTCATCGGGACATAACAATGTGTGTCCTTGGAGCCTTGCCAGCGAGCACTGAGTGGCTGTGCACACAGTAGCTTTGCTGGTTTGTTATTGTTTTTATTGCTACCCCTGACCTTAAAGAAGGCTTTTGTATGCCGTTAGTAGCATTTAGGTAATAAAGTAGGCATGATGTTTGTTCTGTACTTTAACTAATTTTTGTCAAATTATTTTAATTAGTGAATTCAGCTACTTCAAGGTGAACTCATTGCAGGCAATCCATTGCACACACACAGCTTGCATTATCTCCATAGAAATCATTGCCAACAGAATTGGATTCTCTGAGGTCACCATGCTCAATGCCATGCACTGGCTAGAGGGGTGTAAAGCCCCCAGCATTGGGCTGTGGAGTAGTGGAACTGTGCTCTCTGGAGTGATGGAGCTCCAGGGATGAGTTGGAGTGACGTTTGTGATCCTGAACTAATCATAAGACATCAGTACCTGATCTCACTAATGCTCATGTGGCTGAATACAATCAAATCCTCACAGCAGCGTTCTAATAATTATGCACTCGGACCAACGTGGGCTATTTTTAATCTGCTATATATAGACTGGTAACTTGGACATAATGAATTGACATAGCTAGGTTGTTTTTGATTGATAATATTTTATGCTGTTTATTTGTTTATATGTCTTTACATATAGTGGCCTATGCACATATACACTTGGTGTTTTCTGTGTTCCAAATAACCAGATTGCTTTGTGTAAAAAAATGTTCCTGCTTCCGATGTTATTTAAATTCTGTGAATGCAAATAGTTACAGTGTAAAGAGGAAGTTATTTGCAACTTGTGCCTAACAGTCTCACTGGAAAAAAAAATTGATCAGAAGTACTGTTTGTTCTCTCCTCTTTCACAGTCAGTATAATATCTTTGTTGAAGACATCATGGTAAGAAAAGTGAAGTTTCTGTGCTCACAGTCCACATACAGAGAACTGCTGTATCTGCTAGACTCTACCTCCCTCAAGACAATCCCTCTGGTGGATTCAAAAGGTAAGATATTGCACATATATATATATATATATATATATATATATATATATATATATATATATATATATATATATATACATACACTATATGGACAAAAGTATTGGGACACCTACACATTACACCTACAGGAGCTTTTATAATGTCCCATCCATCCGTGGGCATTAATATGGAGTTGGTCCCCCCTTTACAGCTATAACAGCTTCCACTCTTCTAGGAAGCTTTCCACATGATTTTGGTGTGTGTTTATGGGATTTTTTGCCCATTCATCCAGAAGAGCATTTGTGAGCTCAGACACTGATGTTGGGTGAGAGGGCCTGGCTTAAAATCTCTGTTCTAGTTTATCCCAAAGGGGTTTGATCGGGTTAAGGGCAGGGCTCTGTGAGGGCCAGTCAAGTTCGTCCACACAAAACTCACCCAACCAAAGCAACCCAACCTTGCTTTGTGCACTGGGGCACAGTCATACTGGAACTGAAAAGGGCCTTCCCCAAACTGTTCCCACAAAGTTAGAAGGATACAGTTGTCCAAGATGTCTTGGTATGCTGAAGCATGAAGATTTCCCTTTACTGGAACTAAGGGGCCTAGGCCAATCCCTGAAAAACCCCATAGTATTATCCCTCCTCCACCAAACTTAACATGTGACAGAATGCAGTCTGGCAGGTAATGTTTTCCTGGCATTTGCCAAACCCAGACTTGTCCATCAGACTGCCATTGGCATTGTGCGTTTTATTCCTAGGCTTGTGTGTAGCTGCTCGGCCATAGAAACCCATAATATGAAGCTTATAATGTGCGGTTCTTTTGCTGATGTTGCTTCCAGAAGCGATTTGGAACTCTTTAGTGAGCGATTCAACAGAGGATAGACACTGTGCGCTTCAGGACTCGGCAGCACCACTCTGTGAGTTTGAGTGGTCTACTGCTTCGTAGCTGAACTGTAGTTGTTCCTAGGTGCTTCCCTTTCACAATTATAGGACTTACAGTTGACTGGGGCAGATCTAGCAGGACAGAAATTTTACAAACTGACTTGTGGCAAAATATATATATATATATATATATATATATATATTTTCTAGGGGTGTAGCTTCAATACACTACCAAAATATTAAATTTGAAGCAGTGTTGCAAAACTGCATCACTGACATACCCCTTAGTCTCTTATGACAGTCTCTTATCTGCCGTTTTTTTGACTGCCAGTGATCAAAATGAGCATCTGTGTGCATCCTCTCAGAGTAAAGTGTAAAGAAAGGGGTAAGACTTATGCTATGCACATATCCAGGCTCAAATGACTGGGCTTTTTTTCTGAAGTTGTGATTTTCAGGGCCTTTTATTTCTTCGAGGGTGGTGCAGCAGGCATAGAAAAAAGTTATTTTTGAAGATTTTTATTTATCTGAACCCAACCAATCTATGTAATGTTTAATTAGATTTCTGTAGAATCAAGAATATGTGTATCCACACTAGAGGAAACTGACAAGGTTATAACACAGAGCAGGCTGTCTGAGCAATCAGAAATCAAAAATAAGCTACAGGGATGACATCACTATTGTGCAAACCATCACCATTCCAAGCTGACTTGTCTTAAGGACAGGTTTAGCCCAGACAATGATTTGAAAACTTTTATCTCCTACCTGGTCACTCATTTTTTTTTTTCATTTTTATTGTGCTGGTCATATGTTAACCACGCAGTTGAACCTGTGTTCATTTACAGTTTTTACTGGATAACTCACTAAATGAGCCAACCTGACTAGCAAATTTAGCCACCCTTATGGTCTACTTCAGCAGCTTCTCTGCTTTTATTTGGTGTGCATAATGTATTTATTGATTAACCTGGGTCTGGTTTCCAAATAGCAACACTGACGCCATTGTACCTGTTAAACTGTACACTGTTGAATACTCATATTTCTAAATGATTTGTTGATTTCAAAATGCTGTAGAGCATGGAATACATACTCTGGCTAGTAGAGAGTTTGCCTCAAACTGATTCCAGACTGACAAAACAAGCAATAAATGCTGACACTTTTCTACCTGTCTCTCAACCTTAGAATCAATGATCCTTTTGGGCAGCATTGATCGGTCTGAGCTACTTGCACTCTGTGATTGGTGGCTGTCAGCAGAGAGGCGGCTCCTGATGCAAGGACAGGGGTGGCAAGGTCAAGGGCCATGTGCCAAGGTCAGCTGGGAATCTTTTGCCTTTGTGGATGAAGAAGGAGAGGAAAGTGCAGGTGATAAGGTATGTCAAAAGAAGAGTGATTATTCTGTTTTTTCAGATTTTATTATTATTATTATTATTATTATTATATAAATTCTATTTCTTTATTTTGCTTTTTTAATGAAACCTAATTGAAATACTACAAGTTAATGAAAAAAACATTACTGATAAAAAAATATTTTATAGCAAGTTGCATTAAAATGCAAATCCAGGGTTCCTGCCCAGTCTGGCAACCCTGATCTGGCTCTGTTTGAACAGCAGTGAGCAGTGCAGGAGGGCAGAGGAAACAGTCTTTTTAACCATCGTCTTAAAAATGAAAACAACTTTTTGGTCTGTGTCTATCAGCGCATGGGGGAGGAGGTTTTTAAGCCGCTCAAATCCACTTTATACTCGAACTCAGCCACATGGGCTTTATCGCTCGTTGCAGTCTGAATAATTTTCCTGCAGCTCTTGACAGCTAGCTAGCCTACACACTCTCATTTAAATCTAATTATTTGGCTTTGTTAGATATTGTTTGATATATGAAAATAGACAAAAGAGTTGAGAAATAAAATTATTAAAGAATGCAAGTAGATTAAGCAGAAATAGCTGCTTTTCTTACCATGGCATCAACAGGTTAACCCACTGCTCTCTATCAACATTTCAGAGTACGCCCATACAAGAGGAAAGAAATGGCCCTTTACCTTCATCCAAACCTCCAGAACCTTCCACAAATCACACCACCTCAGGTAAATCAAGATTATTGTTGAGAGATGATCAGAGGCAAAGAGTGGTGATGCCATATTGTTCAGAGTCCTCCCTTAGACGTCTTTCCATCCATCAACAGAGGAGAAGTAAATTTAGCATCAGATTCCATGATTGTCAGTTACGTTACTGTTTCTGTACTATCAACACCGCAACTTGAGCGTTCTTTTTGTCTCTCTCACTTTTTTTTCCAGATAAAGGCCCCCTTCAGTCTTTCAGGAGAACTTTACATAATCTCTTTTCTTCCTCTTCAGAAAGACAGGCAGAGGGTCAGACACAGGTGCATACTAGTATACTTCAGTTGTCAAGAAGTCTTGTGAAATATGCTGTAAATTGCTGAAACCCAAAAACTCAAGCACACTACAGATTGTTGGTGTAACCTTATTATAGCACTGAAGTTGTTTTCTGTGTTTCATTATTGATTTTGTCTGATTCACATACACTTTAGCATTCAAAAGACAATCACCATTTTGCAGATAAATGTGAAAAATGATTCTCGTGCTAGTTCTGTTCAACTTCACAGGTTTCATATAGTTCATAAGAAGTGAGGAAACTTTAGATATTTCAAGAATGAAGCTATAATAAAAGTAAATAGATAATTGCAGTATATTATTTATGATTTTTATGATCTTATTGTCCCTAAAATACATGAAATTATAATTTAATAAAATCTTAATGTCCCCAAAATACATGAAATTACAAACTTATATTAAAACCTATTTATTTAAGATGAGTATTAAAACCAAAAAATAAATGCCTAAAAGGTTTACATAAAAAGTCTAGAGTTCATTTCAAGTGTGGCTTTTGCATTGTGGTGTTAACTTTCAGTAAGAAGTGAACTACCAGTAAAGCAAGCCATCATTAGGCTAAAAAATTAAAATAAACCCATCAGAGAGGGAGCAAAAACATTAGCTGTGGCCAAATCAACTGTTTGGCACCTTGTTAAAAAAGAACGCACTCTTTCCCTGGTGAAGAAAACCTCTTCAACAACAGTTAGCCAGATCAAGAACACCCTCCAGGAGGCAGGCTTATCTGTGTAAAAATCAACAATCAAGAATTAATACAGAGCGTTTATTACAAAATGTAAACCATCGGTAGGCCTCAAAAACAGGGGAAAGTTCTGGAATACCATCTTATGGACAGAGGAACCAGATCAACTTGTGAGAGAATTTTTGGAAAGGAAGAGTATGGAGAAGGAAAGAATCTGCTATGATCTAAAGCATACCACCTCACCTGTCAAGCATGGTGGAGGTTGTGTTATGGCCTAAGCATGTATGACTGCCGGTGGAACTGGTTCTCTTGCTTTATTGATGATGTGGCGACTGACAAAAGTAGCAGGGTGAATTCTGAAGTGTGTAGGTCTATTTTATCGGCTCAGATTCCGCTAAATGCTTCGAAACTCGATTTTGGACGGCGCTTCACAGTGCAGATGGACAATGACCCAAAGCATACTGTGAAAGCAACCCAAGACTTTTTAAGACAAATCCAATCGAGCATGTATTGACATGTATTTGACTGAAGACAAAACTGAAAGTAAAAGAAAGGCCTGATAGAGCATCACCAGGGAAGAAACCCAGCGCATGCTGTTGTCCGTGGGTTCCATATTTTAGGCAGTCATTGCCTGCAAAGGTTTTGCAGCCAAGTATTAAAAATGAAAATTTTATGTATGAATAAGTTAGATTGTCCAATTACTTTTGATTTACATCTGGGGGAGGGTCTATTTGGATGTAAATACCTTCAATTTAGAACTAAAAGTCTGCATTTTGAGCTCATATTTATTTAATTTCAAGTCAAATGTGCTGTAGTAGACAGCGAGAAATATGCAGTCAGATGGTTCTTTGAGGTGTCATGATTCTATATACAATCATTGCATTTATTAAAGAACCCTGAAAGAAGCACTTCTACACAAGTGCGTAAAATGTTGTGTTGTAGAAATTATTGTTGCATATAAAATAAATAGTATTAATATGCTAAGTGATTTTAAACATTTGAACAGTAGTGTATATAAGTCTCTCTTTCTCCCCAGGAGCCGACTCCTCCACCCCTCACTGATACAATGACACCTGAAGAGGTGTGACTCTTTTTGATATATGATTTTGAATTCAGCTGATTTTACCTCATGGCTGAACTTAATAGCTTTGGTCAGAGTGAAATAGTTGTTATGGTCCTATGGTTTCTAGAATTTAGAATACTTTGAAAATAAATTGATTTAACATGTTTGGTTGCAGTGAGCTCATCTAGTACCGTTTGAAACAGATAAAAGCATGGGAGGAGTCAGAGATGGATAAGCCACTAGAGCTCGACCAGATACGGATAGATCCCTCCCCTTTCCAGCTAGTGGAGAGAACGTCACTACACAAGGTAAGCTGTAATCTGGGTTTCTCACTGTTGCTGTTATGCTGTACATTTTTCAGTTTCAGTGAATGTCATGACTGTTACATTAACAGTCTTCTGAATTCTGTGAAACTAATCTCTGCATGGAGGCCTCAAGGAAGCCATAATCAAGCTAAGAAGTAAATTAGTGCAAAAATGGTAACTTTGTAGGAGAAAGAAAAAACCTTCTTAACTTTTAATGGAAGTTTATGTAACAAGATTTTTTCCAAGTAATTTTGGACCATTTCTTTTGGTTCATTCATCATGAAGTTTTGACACAATGTAAAGGGCAGCTGGAGCTTTCAAATTGTTGCGACACGTACCAAATGTTGTATTTCTTTGCTCAATTTTCAGAGCAGTATGCCACTGGTGTTTTTTCTGTCAGTTCAGAATAATTACCCACCCTGTCACAGACTGACTGACATTTGCCAGATTCAAGAGAAACTTTCAAGTCTGGCAAGCAGAGTTAACAAGAGTAAACAAAGTGATGCTTTCAAAATTGGTTTGTGTCATGGTTCTACCTGCTGGGATCACAGGCTGGTGTTGATGTAAATATGTCAAGCTCAAGACCCCATAGGCATCTTAATTTTGGCCTTGCAAATATTTATTAGGAAATAATGAAAATGCAAAAGGTTGCTATATGCAAATGACCTCTCTTGTTGTGGACACCCTGACCAATCACAGTTTAGGATATGTGCGTGTTTTCATGAACTGAGGTGTTTTTGTAATTCATGTAATTCAACAAAAATAAATTATTTTGGCCAAAATACTGCAGGCTAATGATGTCACCCTGACCGATTCACTAGTTCATGTTAATATATTGCAAGGTGTACTGCAATCGTAATATGTAGTAATGTAATTGTGATACTAGTGTCTTGCCCATATCATTCTGCCTAAGTAAGGCAGAATTGTACATTTAGAAGTACAGTGCCTTTCATGGTACAGCTGTTGTACCCTGCACCTACCCTGGCTTTGCTTTTCCAGCGGAAAAGAAATTCACAGTGGTGCATTTGGATCAGATAGTATGTCCTTGACTGTATCTTTTTTAAACAGTGATGACCATTGACCTCTTTTTTATCCATAGACTCATACATTGTTCTCCTTACTGGGTCTCAGTCATGCCTATGTAACCAGCATAGGCAAGCTGGTTGGAGTTGTGGCACTGAAGGAGGTAGAGGAACACACATGCATCCATTCATACATTTATGAATCCTTTCATATCATATACAGTTGCATGAAACAGTTTGAACACCCCTGGTCAAATTACAGGTCTTGTTGATTTTTGTAAGTGAAAGTAAGTTAACACATCCTCTACAGGGACTATAAATGTGGCCTTTTTTGCACGTTTTATTGCACAATTTCTATTTATTTGCCGGAAAAAATAAAACAAAATATAAAATGTGCCATAACTTTTGCACAGACCACATTTTATGTGTGTTTTGTGATTTTTTTCAATGTGTTAAATCAACAAAATGAAATTTGACCAAGGTGCCCTCATTTTTGCATTTGAATGCGCATGTACACTGATGTGCCAAAAGTCATTGGAGAGCAGTATGTAAACTGATTATGAAGTGCCATTTCCTCATGGCTTTGAAACGCCCACACCTGTGTAAGTTGTGAGGCATTATCTTGAGGCTGAACACTGGCCAGCGTGCTCAAGGCGATGTGAATTATCAGAGTTCGAACGAAGCAAGATAGTGGGTGCCAGATACTACATATGTCATAGAAGGCATAACCACCCACAGTGGACAGCGCAGTGGCTGTGCATAGGTGCTTAATGATCCTGACCAGCGGCATTCAGCTAGAACTGTCCTTGCAAACTGACATGCGACTCTGGCAGAAACCACATCCACATTCAATGCAGGAGGCCCCACACGCATATTCACTGCAGGTCAGTGCAGCGTTCTTCAGCTTCCATGGGATATCGGAGCAGAAGACCCACCAGAGTGCTTCTGTTAACACCGCGACACTGGACACAGCGCCTCACCTGGGTTTGTGAAGTTGCTTATTGGACTCTAGAGGACTGGCAACATGTGGTGTGGTTCAATGAGTCACGGTACCGGTTGTTTCGGGCTGATGGTAGGGTTTGTGTGTGGTGTAAAACCCCATGAAGCCATGGACCCCAGTTGTCAACAGCATTCCGACAAATTATGTGACCTGCATGTTCGCCTGACATGAGCCTAATCGAGCATTTATGGAATGTGGTAGAGAGGTCCATTCACATCCTCAACATCCTCCAGACATCTTCTGTCCACTTGTGGAATTGATGCCGCTTCGAGTTGCTGCACTACGGCGGGCTAGAGGGGGTCCTACACAATACTAGTTCCTGTCCCATGACTTTTGGGACGTCAGTGCAGTCCAGTATTTATACCACATTTAAGCCATAGAACACGAGAAGGGAGTGTGTTATGATGAGTGTTGTATTGCTTTTATAAAGCAGTTTTGAAAAGTAAAGAACAGGGTAAAAGATAAAAACATTTTTCAAATATGTTTTTAATGTTGCCAGTTGCCTTTACCAGCAAAAGTACTTATAACAATGTTTGTCAGTTTGTATATAGCAATCGGTGATCAGCAGGTACAGTGAAAAAAACAGATACAGGTAGAACACTTTTCAACCAATTACCCTCCAGTCAGGGGCAGTCTCACAAGCAAAGGTAGGCAGCTGCCTAGGACCCCATGAACATACAAATAAGACACACTGTATGCGTTAAATAACCTATTCCAAAATATATAAACTTTAAAAATAGCCATTATTTGCGATTATAGTGATTATTATCAGTAGTTTCAGCCTCACCCACTGGTCAAAGTTTAAATACATTTCCATGTTGTTATGTGAGGACACAACTAAATGAAGACAGACTGGTATGAACAAGGCAATGAAGAAGTAATCTGTATTTTGGAGAGAAGGTTCTTCAGTGTGATTTTTTGAGTGTGATGAGTGAAAATCAAATGAAGTTATCCAAGTGCAGAAAAGAAATGAAAAGGAAGGAGCACAGCAAGAAGTCTGTCTCTGCACTCCTAAACCTAACTTTTTCAGTCAGAACAGAGTGCTGCACAGACTCAGCAGACTGTACATAATGCTGGCATTAATGTTAGTGTTGATAGCTCCAGTGTTGGAGTAATTAAAAAATATAATTACCAGTTGCTAATCACTCGTAATAGGATCACGTTGCTTATTGCTTCCTGGAAAAGGTAATCTCATTACTCATCACTTTGCTTCTATATTGCTCTGTACCAAATTATCTCACTGTATTGGCAAATACCTTTGCTTGTTTCAAACCTGTTTCTTAAAAATAAGCTGATCTGCCAATGTAGTGAGATAATTTCACTTAATATAATTACTTTCACTTAAAATAATTAATATAATTATTAAAAAATGTCTAGAAATAAATTATTTTGTAATATTCTACAAACTCGAATGAGAAATATTAGCAATGTAGACTAGATTTTAAACAATTTCACTTGTCATAAGATGCACAATGCTTAGGAACCTAGAGCCTGGCTAAGCTAATTTAAAAATGTGCATCCATTGGGCCCCACTCCTGTCTTTTGCCTAAAGCTCTAGAATCCCTAAATCCGTCCCCGCCTCCAGTGATTACAGCAAACTTGTGGCAATTTTTGTGATTTCTAAGTTGTTGTGACTACTTTGAGCCTAAATCAGCATTTTTTGATGAGACAATTTTAAGAAGAAACATTTTGTAATTATTAACTTTCATCTCGTAATTATTTGGGGTGCTGCCAGACTCCTGTTGTTGCCCCTGGAGTGCATGGGTGAAGTGGGTAATGCGAGGCACCATGCCCACTTATACAGATAGGAACACTTTTTGTCCCAATGACTTGAACAGGCATGCGCTATTTTGTTTATCATATACACAGTCTGTAATGCAGTAACTATGTTCATTTATTTTCCAATTCTTTTTTCAAATGTCTTGTTCTCTACTCAGCTTCAGAAAGCCATTGAGGGCTCTACGCGGAGCGGTGTCCGCTTGCGGCCTCCTCTGGCCAGCTTTCGCGACACCAGACGCAAGTCCTCGAAGCCGTCGCAGACTTCGCCAGCTCCGTCTTCCCCCGTCTCTCCTCCGGGCTCTCCATCTTCCCCCTCTTCTCCTATCATGACCCCAGCGGTTACACCCCAAGTCCCTACCCCTGTCCCCCCAGCCCCAGCCCCAGCCCGACAGCAGGAGGAGATGGAGGTGTGGATTGAAGGAGTAACACGGGAGGTGGTGGTAGAGAACACCAGCAGTTCCACCACAGGAAGTAGCAGCAGTGAGGCAAGTCCCAACAGCACCCCGCCCATGCCCTCTTCGTCTCCTCCTTCCATCCCTCTCTCCACCCTGCAGCCTGCCCCTGAGAACACAGGAGACAGCACGGAAGAGAGCGATGACGAGGAACCTGTTTAGGAGCTGTGAAAAGTGATCTTATTTTTATATATATTTTCTGTTGTTTTTTTAATGCTGTTTCTGAAAGAGTGATGTCTGTTATTTATTTAGACTGCCTTTTTCTGGGCATCTGTGAATCTGTAAAACATTATTTTGATTAATTCTGCGTAATGTTCTTGGTTCAAGAAGCAATAATGGTAAGATCACTCTGTTACTGTCTTTCACTTTCTTAACTTTTTTTTTTCACTGAATGTTTCCAAAAGCACTGACAAAAATGAGGACTTTTTGTTCGTCTTCCTGTTAAAGTAGGTAATTAAAAAAATAGGCACTTATTCCCCGTCTTTTTAGGTAGAGAATTTTACATACCATATTAGTTACATTTATGAAATTAAATTTTGCTTGAGTTGCAAAATTAAATACTGCTTGAGTTTTAGCATTAAAAATGTAATTCATCCATTTCTCTACAAAGTCTTTAAATCATTTGCAAAGTCAAATAAAATAAATAAATCCACAAGAAGATCTTAGTATTTCGACAGAATCATGAATCTGAATCATTAATTTAGTGTAGAAATATAACACAGCAGCATTTAGTATCATATTCAGTTATACATTAATTGGTTAACTTGCAGGACTGTGTGTTGTCACAGGCATGGCATGAGCAGCTCTTAAAACATAGCAATGTCATACATTTTAGTGTGTCACAAGTTCCTTTTTAGGACCAGTCAAAGTGTTGTATCCTTTTCTTTTCAGCCCTGTTTGTGGAGCCTAAAGCTTCCAAATTGTTGACATTCAGCCAGCAGGTGGTGCCCTATGAACTATTCAGCACTGAAACTTTAGTTTAAATTTAGGGTGTGTTCAAGTGCTGCAGATGCACTGCAGAGCCTGCAGTTTTCATATAATATGCATGCAGCATCTTTTGCTAATATTTACATGGCAAGCAGCGCTTCTGTGCAGAACTGGATGAAATCTGCATTTGCATTCTGCCATAGTTTTTACTGCCTCTTCACTTTGTCTTTTCCTGTGATGATCCTATTATCATTAAGACTTACTTTGAAACGTATGAATTCCTCATATTTACACATTCTCCCCCTACCACATCCTTTGTTTCATCCCTCCATCTTCATCTCTCAGTCTCTCAGGTTGCTCTCATGTCTTTAAATCAAGGACTCTAAGCAATAATGAACATGGTCTGTATGTATTATATGTGCTGTTTAAATGTTTTCATTTTTTGCTATGTAATAGCTGAAGGGTGTATTTTTAAGGGGGGCAGGAGTAAACATGAATAAACAAACAAGCACTTGTTTTTTTCTGTTAATTTTTGCTGTCTATTCTGTATTTATTTATTTATTAATTGGTCTGTTTTCTCTGCTCTCAGTGTGGTGAGATTGTGTAATGTACAATCCAGGTTTAGTAATTATTGTTTTGTAGGTATGTAGTTTATTTTTGTAGTAGATAGTAGTAATCAAAGTGATCATTAGAATTTGCTGTCATGGATTCACATTATTTAGACTGTGAAGATTTGTTGAGGAAGTAATAACTATGCAATAAATCGCAACTGTTGAGCCTGGCTCTGGAGTTTGTAAGGGGCCCAAGCACTGAAAGTGCTGGAACCCTGTTACAATGCATCAGATGCATTTGTGCGAATCTGAGATGAGTCTTAAGTTTCTATGGTGAGAGTGCAAGTTGAGTCTCAAGTCTTTAGTAGGGAATTACATTAGCCTCATTATTAGCTGCAAGTAGTGCACTGTACAAACGTAAACACCTACTAAAAACCTGTCTGGTTTCAAATAACAACCCTTTCTTAAGTTCACACTTGGAGACACATTGTGATCAGATCACTCAAACCACCTTCAGAGGTGATTGCATACAACCACATAACATTTACAGTGTGAACGCTCAAGAGTCCTGTTGAATCTTTGACAGTGGAAATAGACAGACTTTATCTGCTGTGTCATCACAGCAGTGACGAAAGCAGCTGTGTAGCCTCTACTGTTTGTTTACAAGTCAAATTAGCAGTTCATGTGGCCCTTTTATTGGCATCACCATAGACTCCTGTCTGATGACAAATGCAGCGAGAGACTGACGTAGTAAATGTTGGTGGTACCCTGCCTCCAATCTCAAATCCAAACACAGGAGACGCTTTCAGACACACAGAAATGCCAGGAGTAAACAGCTACATGTCTCGCTGGCCACTCGTGATCACTTGAGATGGATGTTAATATGAAGTGTGAGGGGCCCAAGGGGTTTATTAATTTACTGCCTTAAGGCTGGGGGTCCTAATTTAATCAACTTTATTTTTCTTTTTTTCTCAGGCTGAAATTTCAGGGGTCTCAATTCTAAGTTGTCAGTAATTTTGAGGAATTGTCAGTCAGTTAAGGGTGAGTCCGAGTCTGAGTCGTCAGTTAAGGAAGAGTACGAGTAGAGTGGTCAGTCAGTTAAGGAAAAGTCAGAGTGTAGCGAGTCAGTTAAGGACAAGTCTGAGCCGTCAAAGAGGAGTCCAGGTCGAGTCATGAGTCAGTAAAGGATGAGTCCGAATTGAGTCGCGAGTCAGTTCAGGACGAGTCTCAGTTGAGACATGAGTCAGTTAAGGACGGGTCTGAGTTGAGTCTGTTTTCAATTAAGACCGAGTCCGAGTCAAGACATGAGTCAGTTAAGGACAAGTCCAAGTTGAGTCATTAGTCAAGGCAGAGTCCAAGTTGAGTCGTGAGTCAGTTTAGGACAAGTCTGAGTCAAGTCATCTGTGAGTTCAGGACGAATCGGAGTTGTCCGTCGGTTAAGGCCGAGTCTTAGTCATTCAGAAATGAGTCTGAGTCAAACTGTCAGTCAGTCAGTTAAGGATGAGTCCGAGTCGAGTTTCAAATCAATGAACATGCGACACTGTGACAAACTGCAATGCATGCAAATTTATAGTAATTAACCATTTGTGTTTGTGTGTTCAGACAGGTTTCTTCTGTAACGTCCTTAGACTGGCTTGAAGACTTCCAACCATGCAGGGACCGTCCTCACAGTAAGAGTTTTATTTACACATAACACATGAAAATACACACATACTGGATATGAGGCTACAACTTAGCATAACAGCTCAACCCATATTCCTTGTTCTTTTGACTGCAAATTCCTTTTGCACCTTATCAATGGTCAAATTTAACCTTGATACTGAAGCAGAACTGTAATGTGGAGTTATTAGTCTTTTTTCATAACATCATTGTTTAGCTCTCCAGACCAAGCAGTACCTATAATACTACCATAATGTAATGTAGATGTGGTAATGACTATATGACACTGCCATCCAATCATGTTAACGTATATAAAAAAATTTCATCTAGAGAAGTGTTTAAAAAAAACACCCTAAGAAGATGAATAACAACTTCTTAATGAGTTTTCTTAAATCACTAGAACAGTGAAAACGTCTCTTTCCTTTCACAGTAATGGCATGCCCATAAGACCTTTCTCCACCTTTTTAAACATTTACATATCATAGTATATATTAGTTATACAAAAATAAATGTTGCTCCAGTTGCATAATGGGTTTCAGCACTAGAAATTAAACTCACCCATTCTCCATAAAATCATTGGAGGAAATCATTTTGCAAAGTCAAATAATTGCAACAATCTTTAAACAAGGCGTTCACTCTGCATTAAGCCAAAAGCATTAATTTAACAAAACGTTTTTCACACATTACTAGCTTCATATCTTCTCTTGTCAACTAGGAAACAGCAGCTTTTCAAAATAATTAGATGAAAGCCAGCAATCAACATATCAAGCACCTTCGTTTCTCCTATTTCAGCCTTCATGTCCACAGTCATGCGGTCTGTCATGACAACATGATAGAAAATATATGATACAGTGATCAAAACTCGGTACTATGATTAGCCTGGTGTTTTCAAATGATTAGAAATACCTATATTTTCTCAGTGCGATTGAGTCAATTAGGCTTGAAGACCATTGAGTTTGCTGTGATACACATGCACACCATGCTCTGCTTAATTATTAGATGTTGTATGTAAGCTATAGTGCATATTTTTATGTTTGTCATCTCATCCTCTCATCATATAAGTGTTATATTGATAACTTGAGAATTATGAGAAATGCCTCAAAACTCCTTTCCTTTTGCTGTTCTGTGAAAATCAATACTCCGTAGGATGGTGAAGCAAAAAAAAGCCCAAAAGTAAACAAATACAAAGACGAATTGGGGAAAAGAGTTGATGGAACAAGAAATGGAATCATCACTCAAAAGACAGTACATTCTTTTATGTCCATAATAGTGCATAAGTCTTATAAATAGCAGTTCAGTATGGATGTTGAACAGGGCAGCACTGTTTCCAGTTGGGCAGTATTGTGCTTGGTTATATAAAGAAAAATAGATTTGTTGTGTGTGTGTGAGTGTGTGTGTGTGTGAGTGTGTGTGTGTGTGAGTTTGTGGATGCTGGAGGTAAAATACATAGGAGACACTTCACACAACATTATTGCCAAATGGCGAATTGATAATAGTTTTTTTTTTTGTTGTTGTTTTTTCCAGAATATACCTTTATACATACATACTTACATACATTCATACATTCAGACACACATACATACATACATACAAACATACATACATATTGTACGTACATACAAATACATATCATTTTATTGGCTTTTAGTTTTATTACAAAAATCAATGTATTTCTTATTACTATATGGATTACTGGTAATTCAGTCACTTAAATATTCAAAATGCATGCACGTTCTTTTGGTTGTCTTGGTATCTTGGTATTGCACTCGTTATTTTCTTTTTGTAAGTAAGTGTCCTCAGTCTTTTTTCCATCTCTCTCTCGTCGGCCATAAAACTCCAGTCTTCTCTGAAAAGGCGTCGGGAATCATCTCCAGTTCATTGCAGCCAATTCTAATATTATGTCCTCCATCACTCTTTAATAATGTATAAGTCAGTGCATCTCTCGCCACCAAAGTCCTTCACCGTGTTTGTTGGGACAAAAAGAGAATGAATACACCTTGGGACGGGGGGTTGGGTATACATTAGCTTAATTAGTTGATTATTTCGGTAAAGACAGTTGCGTTTTTGTTCGAGACTTTTCATTTCGGCAAAACTTGCTGTCAATTGGTTGCCACTACAACCACGGTCCCATCCTCCACCACCTCCTCTTCCTTCTCCTCCAGCGATTGGACGACGCAGGATGTGACCTCGAAGGTCATGTGCTCAGCCGTTGGCTCTGCTGGTGCCTGTGCTGGACTCGTGCCGCCAGGTGGTGTGGGGTCCTCTCTCGGAGGCGGAGGGGTCAGAACCGGGGTTACGGACATTGGCTCGGGTTCAAGCGTTAATGTGATGTCATCCTCCTTGAAGAAGAGAACAAACAAGTGACGTTATTAAAAAGATGGTTAGGCCAAAAATGTCATTTATCTTATTTACATTCGCCTTTTACCTCAAATACAATCCATCAGCCAAGAATGTTTGTGGTCCCAAGTTTATTTCTTGGTTTTGCACCAAGAACTGCACTGGAGCTACAAGGCTTATGTGAAGGACGTAGCAACGGGGGGGCCTGGAGATGGCCTACACCCCCTCACTTGGAAGGCCACAGATTTCTGACTGCTCAAAAGAAAAAAAAGTCCTCTCATGATGAAAATGATACAGAATGTAATTTGTCTTGAACTCTAATAAAGGATGCTGAGTTCTTGCATCCTTCTCCTTAAATTATACCTTAAACTAATAGAAGTGACCAGCAAAGCTCTCCTTAGATCATCACCGAATTTTAGCATCCATTATCACCATGGCAACGTTTATAAGGCTGCATGCTGCCATTGGTAATGTCACAATTTTAACCAACTCTGCCATAAGGCATGGAGCGACACCCTTTTTTAATGGCAATATGTAAATATTAGTCTGCTTGACGGTTCCCGGTGGTGGGAACAGAGGGAACACTGCTGAGCTACGCTAGTTCCTAACATAGGCTACTACTTACCTGGCTATAGCAAGTTAGGTAAGCAGTAAAGCTGAGACAGTTTAATGCTACTAAGAGAAAAGCTCAGTCTTCAGCTTTCACCCTAGATGTACAGCTAGTGCTGTAGAAGGCAGACCTGTGGGATGCTATATGACATACTGTTATCTGTTAAAATGTAGATAAAACAGTAGTAGCAGTTGAAGGCTGCCTTTTGTCAGTACTTTTGTCTGATTTTATGGACGTGTCTTGGCTGATCAACAACATTTAGAGGGATAATTACTTAATTTGACTTTTTGGCTAAATCATTGTTTTTTTTAACAATTTAACAGATTTTTAGTAAGGTGCAGGATCGTAATTGGAGCATAATTATACATGAATCATCATGCAAAACTGCCAGCTGCCTCTTACTTAGTTTATGTTAATAACGTCATTTAAAGAAGTTTTTTGACTGATTTTTTCATATTTATTTAGTACTGATTTTAAGTAAAATGGCAGTTTGGCCCATTAAAAAGCAAATAAGGTTATGCAGATGCAACTTTGGCTAATACAAAGTACTGAAAATGTTTCATGTGTTCATTTTGCCCAGACAGTGTGGTCTTCAAGTTCAAAGGCTAATAAAATTTGGTCACAAAATTGTCCAAATTGGCCGTAAAGAAATTGACAGCCATAAAAATTGATGAATGGTGCATCCCTAGTTTCTAGGCCCAAGCTAAATAGGATTTATACTCTGAACGTTTATGCGCTACTTCAAACAGGCTAATTAAACTGATTCAGCACTGGCATTTAAAATGCTACAAACTCACCCTGGCTTCCTCCTCCTCCTGTTGCTCTAGGATGCATTCATTTTCTGTAACTAACTCGTCCATATAGGATTCAGGCAAGCCCATTTCTGCCAGGGTTACACCCATGTGTCCCATCATCTCCATCTGATGGGGCTCCACCTGAGCCGCTGCCCACAAATCGGCCAATCGCGGGTGAGTGGGCGGTCCCAGGCTGTGAATGGTGCTGTTGGGCGTGGCTTGCAAGGAATGGGAGGCGCTGTGTAGTCGATGTTCCAGCGACTTGAAGAAACACAGTGTAAAGATAGAAAAATGATTATTTCCAAATAATCAAAATGCTATTTTAATATTTAACCCTTAGAATCACTAATATCAGGGGCAATGACGATGGCATGGGGCAATTTTTCCACACTATTTCTCATTATTTCTCTCATTATTTCTAGCTCAGCGAAACAAGGGAGAAATTCTGTCAGAACAGCACATTATACACCTTTAGTCGATATATTTGAGTTTGTAAGTTGAAGAGGAGACATTTTATTATGATGTGTTATGATTACGATGAATTTGAAGATATGCTTTGTAGAATGAAAACAAGATCCTTTACATTTTTGCAATAAGTCTGTAATTTCTTGAGAAATCAGAAGTGCAGTCCCAAACCTGTCAGTACAAAAGGCTAATATAATCATAAATGCTCTGCAAGCTCTGCAGGTAACTGTGTAATTAATTATATAACTGTGTAATTGCACTTAAGTAGTATAGCAAAATGCAATGATTAACTCCACTTCTAAGGGTCGGGAGTTGTTGAAGAAGCACAGAAATGGGTGCACAACAGAAAAGCAGTAGTGTATGAAGGGTAAAAATGTATAAAATAATCCTTACCTGTGCTAACTAAAACTGGTGTTCCTGCTGTACAGCATGCAGCTGCTACACTGCTTACCAAGAAAAGGGACATCATCCAACTTTTACTTTTTTGACTGGCTTCCTGTCCATTACAGGATCCAATTTAAGGCTCTTTTATTAGTTTTTAAAGCTCTTAATGGGCCCATTCCTACATTGCAGACTTGCTCCACCCTTACTCTGCTTCTAGGTCTGATGTCCTCAGATCGGTTACTTCTGGCTGTTCCACAGTCTCGGTTGAAGCTTAAGGAGGACTGTGCTGCCCTGAAGCTGTGGAACAGTCTAAATATTAGAAGAGTCTCATGTATCACCAATTTCAAATCAAGCATTTTGAAATCTTACTAATATGCTTACATTTTATTATTATTATTATTATTATTATTACATTTCATTATTTTTTATATTATTTAGTCTTCCTAGGTCATTTTTTAATGGAACGTACACTGTATTTTTAGATTTTTTTTAATCAATATGTTTGTTAGTCTTCCACCGTTAAATCAAGATTACATGTAAAACATCAGCACGATTTGAACTTCAACAATCCCAACAACATTTTTTAGCAACAATGAGTTCTGTCTTAATAAATCTAAGATTTGCCCCTATTTGTTCTTGTGACAAAGATTCATTTCCTAGAAAGGTAAGGCTTGGTGACCTCCAAAAATGCCTTCCAGTATCCCTCCAGGTCATAGAATATTTAACAAAGACCCAATCCCCACTTTTCATTTGGCAATACACTGAGCAATCGTTACTCATTTTATATAACCCTTCATATCTGATGAATGATGCTAAACTGTATTAACACAGGCCAGCTATTAAAGGAGAAATACTGTGCATTCTCACAAACTTTTCCCTACACATTATCTTCAGTTATGCACTGTAAGTCCTTTTTCCACTTTAACAGTGGAGGTAGCGTCTCTTAAAAATCAGATAGACATAAGAGAATCCTGCTTTTTTATCATTTCATCTAGAGGAAGATGATAGTTGTGCACCTTGCTGCACACAGATAAAATGTTGCACCTACAGGTATTTAACAAAATGTTTGGCCAGAAGGAGGAATTTTTGCTGTAGTTTTTTGAAGGTCATAAGCACATCCTCCTCACACAGGTCACCAAAGGGTTTGATGCCCCTATTTTACCAATGGTGTGAGCACCTCATTTACGTTTTTCCTAATCTGCCCAGAGTTTACAAGTGCATTTAATGACAGGACTGACAATCGTCTTCTTTATGTGGCTCGGGGAAAAATGGTGTGGCTGCTAAACCAAAGTCACCACCATGAAATGCTTTGATTCTTCTGTCATCATGCGGGTGGACTTGCAACTCTCCTTTGTGGTATGGCCTACGCAGAATTTTTTATTTAATATTAGGCACTTTCCCATTCTATAGAAATGTGCTTCTGCCAATAATTCTATTTTGGTACATACATTTATTTTAATGCAATTTACACAGCAAATCAATGAAATAGTAGTTTCCATCTATCATACTGTCTTTGTCCACTGTTTTAAGTAGGTATTTTTAGATTTTGATATTTTATGTACACTACATGGCCAAAAAACCTGCGGGCACCAATAAATTACACCACTATGAGTTTTCTGGACATCACATTCCAAAACCATGGGGAATAAAATGGCTGCCTCCACTCTTTTGGGAAGGTTTTCTGCAACATTTTGGAGTGTGTCTGTGGGAGTTTGAGCCCATTCAGTCAAAAAAGCATTTGTGACGTCAGACAATGATGTTCAATGAGAAGGCCTGGCTCGCAATCAACGTTCCAAAGGTGCTTGGTGGGGTTGAGGTCAGGGTTCTTTGCTGGCCACTGGAGTTTCACACCAAACTCATCAAATCTTGTTTTTATGGAGTTCACTTTGTGCATAGGGGAACAGTCATGCTGGAACAGAAAAGGGCCTTCTCCAAACTGTTGCCACAAAGTTGCAAGCATACAACTGTGTAACGTCTTTGTATGCTGTAGCATTAACAGTACCTTTCACTAGAACTAAGAGGCTGAGCCCAAATCCTGAAAAATAGCCCCAGACTGTCCTCCACTATACAGGGTGATTCAAATAGATTCATCCGATTTCAAAGTGCCATATTTTTACAACCGTGAGGTGCCTAGAAAGTAATCATATACCAATTGAAAGAGGGGGTAATAGAGTTTCTGACTGTCAGTATGGCAATGAACCTCTAACAGCTCAGAGCATTCGTCGTTGGTACCAACACTTTCAAGAAAAAGGTCACCAGCGTCACCAGATCTCACGCCATGTGACTTTTTTTGTGAGGTAACGTTAAGAATTCTGTTTATGTGCCACCACTCCCAACAACACTGGACAATCTCCGCACTAAAAGAGCTGTGAGTACAGTGACACCCGCCATGCTCAGTTGAGTATGGGATGAATTTGACTGTTGCATTGATGTTTTCCATACAGCTGGAGGAGCACTTGTAAAATTACATAATAATCTTTATTACTCACTTAAACCATTTACAATTTACTGCATTGTTCTGTAATGATTTACAAGTAAAATAAATCATTTTGAAATCAGATGAATCTTTTTGAATCACTGTGTACTTTACTGTTGCTATGCACTACTGCAGGTAGCATTCCCCTGAAATCTATCAAACCCAGATCGGTCCATCCAGACTGCCAGATAGTGAAGCATGATTCATCACTTTATGTTTCCACTGCTCCAGAGTCCAGTGGTGGCATGCTTTCTACCTCTTCATCTGATACTTGGCATTGTGCATTTTGATCTTAGACCTGTGTGCAGCTGCTCAGCCATTTCATGAAACCAGCCCACTGCAGGCGGGAGCGGGCAGAAGCACACATAAAGAGAAATCCCACAAAATAAATGATTGGCCTAAACTGGAACGATTGCTAAATCATACATGTAAACAATATAACAGTAAAACAGTTCAAATGAATGAAGTCTTTCTTGAGCAACCGATCACGTGAACAACAAGCAAATTCTCAAAGGCCCGATTCACTGTGTTTACGTGGCGTAAGCGACGCGAAAAGTCTTGCTTTTCATTTCGGCGCCCATGTTAAGTGGTCAGTGCTTTCAAACAGGCTGCGCGTGCAAAGCGGCAGACTCCCAGATGCGGTGCGGCGTGGTGCGGCACGGTGTTTAGAGAACAGACCCAGGGCAGATTTTTTCTGCGCGCAAGGCTATGTGCTTAACTTTGTCCACCTGTTAGCAATACATACTTTTGGCCATATAGTGTATTTCTCTTTATGAACAGCACTGTGGTCAACTGTAGTTTTAAATGTGCTTTTTAAATACAAATGTACATACTTACTTACTTACTGTTGTTGCTGGTGGCACTGCAAAATAAATAATTGAACTGTTCAAACCTGTTGTTGGTACTGCAGTAGTTGCTGCTGCTGGTACTGCTGGAGCTGCTGCAGCTGCTGTAAGTGGCTCTGCTGCTGCAGTGTCAGCTGCTGCGGCTGGGACAGATAGAGGGCGGAGCCATCGTAGCCCTCTCCAGAAGCCCCGCCTGCCATAATGTAGGAGCCGGCAGCTGGAGAGGCCATGCCTGAAGGCTCGTTGCTGATTGGCTCCCAGGCATCGGAGGAGGAGAGGCAGTAAAGGCCCTGCGAGACGCAAGTGTGAGGCCAGACTTCTGCAGAAGAGTGATGCATTGGCTGATCTACAGAACACAGAAGAAATGAGGAGCAACAAAGGGTAAGGATGGCAACAGGAAAAATGAAACATTTACTGGTCCCCAAACAGAAATCCATTTGTTCCAGAGTTGTGCTGCATTGAATCTACTTGATTCAAATGTGCACATCATTTCCACATGAATCTAAATAACTGTGTTGGTGTAATATTTATGGGGAAATTATGGACACATTTAGAAAAAAAAGAAATGCAATGCATCATTTTTTTCAGTGGACAGCATGTAGGCACATTGTCTCAAAAGATCTAAAAAAATAAAAAAGACAAAAATGTGAACAGATACAAAAGCAGTTACTGCACCTGTTATATATAAAATAATTAATTTATTGCACTTGTATATATAATATTAATAAAATATGAGTACAGAAGATATTAGAAACAATAAGATAAAGGTAGATGATGTGATAATTATAATGACATAGAGCTGGGCGATATGATAACGTTATCACGATAAACAAAATTCATATCGTTCGATATCGATACATATCGCGATAAATGTCAAATCATGATTTCTTTCACGTTTGAAGGCTGATTTTGCTCCTGGGTGGTTAATTGTGGTTTTAAACTATCACTTATGGTCCGATCATGACAAACACTCGGCAAACAGTGGAACATTTCACTAATCTGTCATGGGACAGTGGGAGAAAGTTTCTGAGCTGTTTTTATCAGATGGAAAAGCACAGCTGCAATTTTTGTAATAGTCATAATTTAAGAAAGAAAACGAATTATTTTTAGCTGTATGGTGACGAGCGCTCGGCTACCCCATTACAAATGCTAAACAAGTGGCCAACAACAGTGCTAAACTCTTTAGTTTCTCAACAACGTCAACTCAGTTCGGTAGGTCACTGCTGTCACTCCTACCACATCCATGTCGGAACAGATCACAGTATTCAGACACCAGCTAGCGACGGCTGGGTTTCTCTATGCTATCGTAGTAGTTTAAGGGGTGAATATATATCTGACGCTCGCTGTGTAAAAGCATTATCTGCAGTGTGAATCTCTCACATCAGTCACAGAGTCCTCCTTTTAGGTATGTTTAAACTGAAAGCGGTGATTTTGTGTCTTGTTTGATCTACTATCATCAATTCACTGTGTTGTGCCAGAGCGCCGGAGCGCTGCTTCAAGTTAGCCAGCAGCTAAAAACAGCTAGCCTGGAAAGATAGTGCTCTCCCGCTTCCCAATGCCTCACAGCTTCCTCAGTTTACTTTCTTTTAAATCAGGGCTGTAACTAACATTAACCCACTTCTTTCTTTCACTTTCGTTGCTCGAGAATGCACTAATACTAAAATATGACGGTTTGGCGCTGCAGACGTGATTTAACACCGCTAAAGTTGTTAGGATGCACGGAAAGAGGTGAGTTCACCGTAGGACAGTACAGTTACGTCACTGATCTCGTCACTCACACTCGGTCACAGGAGAACCGATCGCTCCACTCAAACAGGGAATGTATAACTCCACATTTCAGATGTTGCTAAAGTATATTTGGTGACCCTTTTTTTCCTGGGAACGTGGAAGTGTGAGAATGGTGTATTATATCGAAAATTTTTCGAACCTATCTTATCGCTCTATCGAGGAAAAGTTATATCGCGATACTTATCGTTATCGTTTTATCGCCTAGCCCTATAATGACATAGTACATATATAATGTGTCAGGCTCATTTTCAGAAAAAAAAAGAATTATTATATATAACCTCTCTGGTTCCATCAGCAATACACTAGACACGAGCTGAAAGATTCCTTTATATCAAATTTTGAGAATAATTATAGCCTGCATTATCTACAACATTGAGGTAAGAAGTTTAAGGTGGGGATATTTAACTTTAGAACTGAGAGCTTGTGAACAACCTGTAGATGAGTTCAACCAATCAGAAGCAACCAAACACCCATGTGCTTTGACATCACTACCACAGCTAACTGCCAGTCTGGCATACTACGATCAGCGTTCGAGCCTCAAGCTAGTCTTATTTGCCAAAGAAAGGTCTAGGCCTTGATTTACAGAAAACAGTGGCAATTTACATCACAGTCGCAATTCAGTCATTGCTAACTTGCACCTGCAGGCTATGACCTCCGTATTGCAAGATGCTGTAAAGATGAAAGAAGTTAGGGCTGAGTGTTTCCTCCTTTGAGACTCCAAACAAAGAATGGCTGTGGCTGAGATTTGAACTCATGACCTCCTGATGACCAAGCAACATTGTTAAATGTTTCGTAACCAAGAAAAAATGAAAAGGTTTTCATGGCCAAAGACCGCTGTCTGTGTTTTCTTCTTCTTTTAATATTGTCATTAAACACTTTGATATGTTTTAAGCACTCCTCCCAGCCTGGGGTTACAGTGTGAAGCGGTGGGGGGGGCAGCCTGCAGGTGCAGTTTTAGCTGATAATGAGGCAGCATGGTACCAAGCTGAATTAACTCAAAAAATTGGTGCAGCAGGCTGCCTTGCAAACTGCTATACAGAAACATTTGCAAAAAGGTTCTACTTAGAACCATACCCAGCACATTCTCCATCAATCTGAAGAACCATTTCACCATACAAAGAACCATTTAAGCATGGTTCTATATAGAACCAGTCTTTACTAACAAACCCTTGAAGAAATATCTTTTTAAGTGTGTAGAAAAGATATTTAAAAAGACAATTAAGTATTCAGACTTGATGTATTTACAAGGAATTATGTTATGAACTACTTAAACCTAAGGCATTCACTGATAGTAATAAGCTAAATATATACAAAATCATCATTTATAGAGTACTCTTTATTGGGAAGTGTCTGTCCCAAACACTAACACCTACATTTTAACTTGTGACAATAATACTTACATTTGTTTTACATTTTTTTATTATTTAGAAAATGTTTTTGATTTTTTTTTAAAGTGAATTCAAAAGATTTATATTTAATTTTTAAATGAAAAAAAAAATAAAATACTGTCCAAAGTGCTGTTTTACTCCTTAGGCGGAGCCTTGTTTTAACCACACCCCTGTATTTTAGAGCAGGAAGCGAGACTGCATCCCTGTCCCTCATGGCCACATGGTGAGCAGTTAGATCCCACTGTTATGAGGTAAACGTGTTTCAAATCCAAAGATTAGTGCGTAACATTAAGAATTGTCACATTTTTTTCTTCACTTACGTAAACGTTTTGTGTTTTAATGAATTTTTTTTTATTTTATGCGTGTACATTTGTTCAAAGCTGTGGTTGCTAGTCATGTACTGGCTAGTGTTTTTCAGTTATGCTCAAAATTAGCTAAAATTGTGACTACCAAATCAGTTACTATCAAAACATTTGGTAAAACTTAGACGTATCCAATTCCACCCACTAGTTAGGATTCCCCCAGTCACACAATACCACCAGCGCTAGGAGGATGAAAGCTAGCACAGGCTTCCTCCGAGACCTGTGAAGCGCCACTGCATCTTTACTGCCGCTAACACAACCATTTCGGTAGAATAATCCAGATATAAATACTGTGGAAAAATTTCATATGAATGGGTGCATCTATCACTTTCTTACTGTGAGAGACATCAGTAGAATTTAAACTCTGCATCATCATCATGCAAACTGCCAACTAATCACTACTGATCTACCAAGAAGGTACATTTTAAGCTGACTTTTTTTAACTGAGTAATCGTGACAGCTCTAGTGTCAATACACTCTCTGCATGAACCATGACTCAGAACGCCTCTCCACACTGCACCACTCTGCTCTCCTGCCCTGAGCCCTGCAGCTGCCATTTTCCACTTTTTGGCTCTGCCACATTTCCATGCACTAAATAAAGCCATGTCTAACAGTGTCACACCTGTCAAACACGCTGGATGCAGTATCAGTCAAAGCAGCGTAAACAATATAAATCACGACAGATATATGAAACCCCTCACTGCAGTAAAATATGGAAGTGTTGTTATGGGTTTGCTGACAGTGGAGTCCAGCATTGATCAGAGTTATGGTGTCTGAGGCTTTGTTTACTACATAATGAGGTTTTTGGCTCTCAAAGCTGAATCAATATTTTGCATGTTGAATCATCCAGGTCATTACTGGATTTATTAAATAAAGGAATATTCTAAAGCTTATTTTTAGACTTTAGTTTTGATCGTTAGAAGTGAAGCAACAGTGTCTTGTGGCAAACCGTGCAACAACTACATTTTGGCCTAACTGAGAAAATGCATTTTCAAATGTTGCTTAGAAGATAATAATAGGTAATCTCTCGATTCTTAAACTAAAGCTTACAGATCAGAGACTTTCATGCTGACACCACCAGGACAAATGGTCAAAAAAGATGACCTAGTACAGTCGTATGCAAAATCTTGAACAGATTGGTCAGATTACATAGTTTGTTGATTTTATAAATGAAAATAGGGTAACATCCTATACAAGGAACAAACCTAAATAAGGCAATTTCTATTCATTTGCTGAGTTAAACACATTGAGAAAATGCACCATACACTATGAAATGTGCCATAACTTTTGCACAGGCTACATTTAATGTTTTGTTTTTTCTCCAATATGTTAAATTCAGCAAATAAACAGTAATTGTGCATTAAAATGTGCAGAAGTGTGTTCTCTGTAGAGGATGTGTGGACTTTTCATTTAACAAAATCAACAAAACATGTCATTGGTCCAGACTTTAGCATACCACCCAGTTTAGTATAATCCCAGTTCTCTGTCAGGACATTGTCGACATATTTTTGAAAGCCAAAATGCACTTAAAAGACTAGCAACTATCTATCTGTCGAGTTTCAAACAGGAATTATCTGTTGCCTGACAAACATGTTCAGACAGGAAGGTACATGTTGCGACCACAGCAGAATTAGATTTTTAGGTAAAAAATAAAATAGTCATCCTTTGCAGTAAAATAAAGCTCTGCTGATCGTTTTCATACAGTTTTAATAATAAATGGTCTTAAACGTTGGAGTTAATGCAGGCTATATCTGCTAATTCACCAAAATGTTACCCTGCTGACTGCTGGTCACACAGCAATGCAGACAACAATTTTGCCGAGCTAGTAGCTAAAGAAAAGTAGCAAAGAGAAAGATTTAAGACGAACATTGATAATTTGGAGACGAATGGACTGCATTTATAATCACTCCAGCTGGTCTCCTTATATGTTTAATCAGCAATGAGAAACTGTCAAACACTAACAATTTGCAAAGGTGTAGTCAGCTTCTCATTCACCAGCATCTTGTTTGAACTGTCCTGTTCCACCTTAAATGGAGCAGCAGTTACATTCCATTAAGGTGGAACGGGAAAATTTGAACAAGAAGCTGGCGAATGAAAAGCTGACTTCAGCCTCATAAAAAGTCAAATATTGAGAGACATTTTACAAGAAACTGTTCCACTTTTGAGGTGTGAGAAAAGCGGCAATAACTGAGCTAAAGCTTAAAGCAGAGCAAAGTAAGTCTGTGTTTTTTTTTTTATATTTGTTAGCCTATACTAGGACATTAGCACATACTGTCACATATTTACAGCCAAGATGGTTCTTAAAATGGGCATAAAAATGGACATAAAACAAGGTTCCCAAGGTGGTTTGATTTTTGTTGAAAGGACAAAATGGCTCTTCTTAACATTTGGCTTGCTGACCGCTGGCCTAGAAAAAAGGAATTCCCAATGGTGATTCACCAATGGCACTGCAATTTAATCCAGTACTAGGCTTAATCCATTTCTGGGAGAGCGGCCATTCTGGCTCTTAGTTCCCAAAGTTTTGTTATATTTGGGTCTCCTACTCATTAAAAGATCTGAAGACCTACATTAGCTTAGAGATGGCATGTTACCACTCTTATTTTATTTACAGTACTTTTTTACATGTAAAGTTTTTGTTTAATTTTTGTGAATATTTTTTTTATAAATTATTGTTTTACCAAACAACCAAACAACCCAGTTTTATTCTCCAATGTCCGATCCAGTATTTTCTGCTGATACTAACCCCTATACTGATAAAAGGGTAACAGATCAATGACATCTCTGCATTCAATCAATTTATCCCAGAAATATACTTTAAGGCAATCTTAAAATTGTGTCACAAAGCAAGTTCAACATTCGTAGAGTCTGACAACGCTTAGCTAGCTTCACTAAATAACACATTTCCCCATCACACTTAATCAACGTCATGAAGGCAGATACTAATTAGTCAAGCCAGCTCAGGCTTTAGCACAGAACATTCCTTTCTTGGTGGCAGAGAAGATTCATCTGCTGAAAACGTAGTTGTGTGCCAACAAAAAGCCCTGCAACAGCTGCTTAGGATGAATTTGCTAGTTAACTACACTGGCAGTCAAAAAGAATGGCTCACATGTGTACAGCGACATTGAGCAACTATTTGTCATGTTTGAAAGATATTCCAACACGACAGTGCAAGATACCACACAGTTCATTAAGTGAGAATCAGGCAAGATTTAAAAGCCAGAGATTTTGTGGTACTATGATGGGAAACGGGTGGAGAAGAAAGACCCAAAAACTATGGATGGTCTGTATACAGTACTAAAAATGTTTAATTCTTTTAAAAAGCTTCACGAAAGTGTGACACAGCACTGTGAGATTGTTTTCAAGACAAAACACTGCTAAACATTATAAACTGTTATTTCCTATTGCATGTTCATACAGAAAAAGGGGCCTAATTCCTTATTATCTTTTTATTATTTACTTTTATTTTATTTCTGCCTTTTAATCTATTCTTTATGATCTGGATCGAGTTTGGACCATGCCTTCATGAGAAGGGACTGTAGGACTGAAAGAGGGAAGGGAACTCTGAGAATCTGGGCTGGAGTTCTGGGCGCCTCCTGCTTTGAACTGGAAGACCGGGCTGCCTTCATGGTGGTGATAGGGCGTGAAAACTTTGTCACAGGAAATGGAAGGTAGAGATAGGAATTTATAGGACATTAGATTGGAAAGATGTGGAGCTTTAGGCATCCTCCTCCCAAACTTCAGTTACTTCATAACTCCATGTGAAAGAAAATGTCATAGACTTTTATTTTGTTTGTGTCACAAAACTACCTTTTTGAACAAGCAAACATGCACAGCAATATACTTCACACTTCAGCCACCTTTTATTATTACTCTGAAGAAACAAATCAATAACAAACCTATAGTGATGCGAATTCCGTTCTGAATGTGTTCACTTAGTTCATCCACCAATAAAAGCAGCATCGTGCTTATTTTATACAGTGATAGAAAACATGGTAGCACACAGAAAGCGTCAGTTCCACATGTTGATTCATTGTACTATGACTGATAAAGTGGTTGTTAGAAGTGAAGGACCAGGGTCCACAGGGCAAATGGTCAAAACAGATGACCTAGTAGAGTTGTATGCAAAAGCTAAAGTTGCATATGATGTTTTGTTGATTTTCTAAGTGAAAGTAAATAAAGGCAGCTTTGTGCTCCTTTTCAATAGTGATAGAAAACATGGTATCACACAGAAACCTCCAATTCCAAATGCTGATACATTTTACTATGACCATTATGCACATGTACACGTCCCAACTACTCTGAGGGCAGATTTCAGTTAAGGGACAAAGCCAAAGCCTCTGAATGTATCTTTGGTGATACATTAGGTAAGATATTATTCATTATACCTATATGGATATTTCTGGTGCCACTGTTTTATATTGCAACTGTAGTCATTAGCTGAAAACAGCACTTCACAGCAGTGCTTTTGAAAATCTGATTGAAAAATGATTCAGCTAGCTTGAACCTGAGCCACACACCATGGCAGATAAAACCCTGAGATAAGGTTAAAGTTCGCAAGATAACCCAGCTATCCTTTTCAGTAGCAGGCCTTTCTGTCAAATGATTCATTCTTCACATATAATCTGATGTGAGAGCTGAATGAGGTGAAACTAATCCTGAATGTCAGTCATGTTTGCTCGACATTTGACGGAGGTGCTTGTTGTGCTTACCTCTGCTGGTGATGCTCTCCTGGTTGACTTCGCTGAGGTGGGCCACGCTGCCCTGGTTGGAGTCGGCACAGAGGCTCTCTCCATCCATAGAGTTCCAGGCCAGCAGTGTGGCCTCAGAGATCGCAAACTGCTGCATCACTCCTGTTAAAAAGTGAAGCAATGGCCTAATCAAGGCAAATAGGAGAGTGATCTTTTTCTCTGACACACCATAATGTAGGGTAAAATGAGGGAAGACGCCCTCCAGGGTGAGATGTTATTTCTCTCCTGATCAAATGATGGAGCAAAATCGAATCTCAACACATTTACCGAATGGCTGTGCTCATCTGAATGAGTGCATTCCTGGGATTTATTCCCCCAGAACCTTTTTAAGGTCAGCTGATCTAATTTTTTGTCATTGGGTTATACTGATCTATGCATTTATATTAAGATAGAGGTACAGGAAATATTTTAAATACATGATTATTGGGGTTGTGGAAGTTATTTGGTTATTTGGCCATTTAGTTATTTGGTTTTGAGAAGGAAAAATAACATTCTTCATGTGAAGTGAACATGTAAAGTTAGACTTGCGGCCCACACAAGCATATTACCCTAAAAATACTAGCTAACACTTTATTTGGAGTGGTCCTTTGTAGATTATTAATAAACTCTTAACAGTAACACAGTAACACATCAACAACATATCACTGAAGTAGCAGTAGTGAAGCATCTGAATACACTGAAGTAAATATCTTGTTGATGTTCTGCTGATACGTTACTAACATTAAGTAGATGTACTGTTAATATGTTACTTCCATTACAAAAACCTAACCTTACCAACAACCTAACCCTTACCCTTATGGGAGGCAAATCCAGCCAAAAAAGAAATTAAAATTAAAACCATAAAACAAAAATGAAAACTTCTTTTTGCCATTTCTTTTTCCAAACATCTGCGCAGATATCCTGCCAAAATTGAAAATGAAATGAAATTTCTACATTTGCAATTTTATTTTTCACATGAGCACGAGCCATTTGTGACAAAAATATAAATAAATGCAAAACAGCTATTTGTCATTTCATTTTAGTCGTTATTCTGTTTTTTCATGGCCAAATCTAAAATGAAAAAGCTAATAGAGAAAAGAAAATCCAAGCTTCACTTTGGCTTTGGCTTTTCTTCATGAAATGCAGAATACATGTCAAAACTAAAATCAAAATGCAGCGTTCACGTTCTCATTTCTTTTTCACAGCAATCGGCTGCAGATCTGACAAAATGAAAATGAATATGCAAAACTGATAAATCCACAGCAAAGTGACGGTTTGTGATTCGGTTTTCGGCGTGGACGCGCTTTAAGTGTCAGAATAAAAAGGCAAATGCAAACGAACATCAGCGCCACCTGCTGGACATTTACTTTACATTTTCCACTTTTCGATTTCGTTTTCAAACTGACCAACATGCAAATATGTGTTAATTATCACTGGGCGGGGCTACGGGGTACATTTTAGGACAGCCTTAGACCACCGAGTCAGGACGGCATCATGACGGTGAAACTGAACGTCAGAACAAACACCGTCAGAAAAAACTGGAAATGTCTGATACCTTTTCTCTGAGGCCATTTGGTCTGACGGTGTTTGTTCTGACATTCAGTTTCACCAGATTTGAGTCATGACGATGGTTTTTCTCGAGACTCGAAGTTGTTTAGCTTGAGGAATGATGCCGTCCTGACTCGGAGGTCTAAGGCTGTCCTTTATTATGTTTATTTTATTCAAATAAATTATTGAACATTACATTTTGTCGCTACCAAAACAATCATAACACTGAAAATGAGTGTGTAATATTAAGAACTGTCACTACTGAAACACATCATTTGGTAAAGTTTCATTAGTGACAATTCTTAATATTACATATCAATTTTCAGATTTTCAGACACATTTACATCAAAACATTGGGATTTAACTGCTCACCATGTGGCCATGAGAGACAGGGATGCAGTCTCACTTCCTGCGCTAAAATGCAGGGGCGTGGCTCCGCCTATGGACTAAAACTCTTTGTCTCGGTAGTGATTTGAAAACACGGGACAGCAATTGTATATATATTACTCAAAAAGATCTTTTAAATAAAAAGCTTGGGGGAAAAAAAATGATAGAATTATTGTTTTGAATTATAGTTGAAATGTAGGGGTTAGGGTTTGCAACAGCAACCTCCCAACAGAAACTACCCTATAAATTATGGTTCTGTACATATTTAGCTTATTACTATCTCAATGAATGCCTTGGGTTTACATAGATCCTAACATAATCCTTGTAAATAAAGTCTTAATTGTTTTTTAACCCTTTAAATGGCCAGGGCCCACTGGTGAGCTTAAAGTTGTATTACACACTTCTATGACCTAAGAATAGTTCAGTCAGTTTATATTGAAGTCCCTGTATTTACTGAATAAATGGGATTTTAAGGGGTTACGTAGTTCTTTATATAGAGGCTGCAGTTTAAGAGTAGAGTGGTCATTATATGTGAAATGACTGTACCTGCTGCCATTCGTGCCTCCTTCTCTCCGTCACTTAGGTCACTGTAGGCATCATTCTCCATTCTCCTTTCTCTCTCACGGTGCAGGTTGGAGTGACCTGCTCCTCCTACTGGTCCAGCAGATGGTTTACCCCAACTCTGCCACTCAATCATATGGGCCACGCGTCCTTGAGCCATAGCAGTGGGTTTAGTTACCTTGTCTTTCATGGACCTCGTCACACCTACAGGAAGAAACAATCAGGGTGTCAGTACAGTTATAGACAGTGGCTGTGTCCGAATCTTCTACTATGTACTGCTTCCTAATAGTGTATAATTCTCACTTGCCGTATTGCATACTGAAGTCTGCATAGCAGAAATGTTTGTATCCCACTTATTGAGAAAAACCAACTAGTAGGATGTACTGTAGTGCAGGGAATTCGGACACAGCCTGTATCTCTGCATGCAGATGCAGAAAGGAAGGTAATGAGGGTAGCAAGGCAATGCATTAGAGGTAATGAAGTTTTTTTTCCTTAATCGAGTTACTGGCGCGTTAATTAAGTGCAAATGCTAAGTCAGTCTGCCTCAGTCCGCCTAGCCACAGAATTAGGAAAAGGCAACACCGGACGATTCTAGACTCTTGACACAGCTTGTTGACTTGATCAATTTTCCTCACAAGCAATGGAGATAAACTGATTTCAGACACATTATTCATGAGAATTCAGACCCATTATTCACAAGATTAATTAGTTACGCAACATCCATTAGACTGTATGCGTTTTTGGATAATTAGAGTTTAGAGAAAACAGTTTAAACATTTCTTTATATGAAAATGGCTTTTTAGTACGCAAATATGGGCACTCATTAGTCCAAAACTTAACACGGGGTAAAAGAATGTGAACTGGAAAGAACATGAACAGAATAAATCAGTGTGGAGTGTTGATACTGCCATATTTATGCTCTTAATATTTGCCTCGCTTCTATAACGAACTGTTTGAAAACCCAATAATGACAAAAGCAACCTTCCATTTGACGGAGCTTTGGATACTGAAAATGAATGAATTCAATTTGTTCTATGGAAGTCAAGGTGGAGTCATGCACCGTGTTGTCACTGAATTAAAGAAAACAAGAAACTACTGAATTAAATAAATAACAGGACACTTCAAAAAATGTATACCTACTTTTCCGAGCAACCTGTTATGGCAATGAGTGATATTAAATCTTACAACAGTATATATATACAGATAATATACATCTATACACCAACCAGCCACTTCATTAAGTGCACCTACCTTGTATCTACACTGTTTGTCCATTTTATCAAGTCTCTCTATCATATAGATGCACTCTGTAGTTCAAAGTGTAGTACTATTATAGACTGTAGTCCATCTGTTTGACAGTGAGGTGTTCAAAAACTCCAGCGCAACACAGACTAACACGCCACGACCACATCAGAATCACTGCAGCGCTGGGAATGATCCACCACCCAAATAATACCTGCTCTGTTGGGTGGGGGTGGGGTAAAAGGGGGCTAACGAACTATGCAGAGAAACAGATGGACCACAGTCTGTTATTGTAGAATTACAAAGTGGACCTATATAGTAAGTGGAGCTCATAAAATGGACAATGAGTGTCGATACAAGGAGGTGGACGTATTGAAATGGCCGGTCAGCATATGTACATATGTATATATACACACAAACACACAAATCACTACACATAGCACATATACACAACACAATGTTCACCAACAATTTACTGAGCACAACACTGCAGATCTCACACCTGCACACTGGACAAAACCCACAGCGTCACCACAATAACACTATTCACCACATAACCACTGAACACCCAAAAGACTACAGTTCCCAGCAGCAAGCCTGTGGTGATGGGTTGTGCACTTACGTCAAACAATCGTTTGTGCTCTTGTTGGATCTGATTGGTCTTTCATCAATGGCAGCAGTGGCCATTGACAGGCACTAATTAATGGTGGCAGGAAGTGAAACTGGAAAGGGAGAAGGGGGGGAGGGACCCACAGGGGCGGCCATGTTGGCTCCACTCGCCATCTCCTCCTCTGGAGCCAACATGGGGGCGGTTACCAGCTACCGGGACAGACACACACCTGACACACCTGACAGAGAGGACTTAGCCAGAGCTCCAATCCCATAGGCGTTGGAGTTCCGCTTCAGACGAGGCAAGATGGAGGTGGTGTCCTCCATAGACAGCTGACAGACAGAAATGTCATGAGGAGAAAACAGGAATAGCAGACAGGAAAGGAAGAAAGAAAGAAAGAAAGAAAAAGAAAGAAAGAAAGAAAGAAAGAAAGAAAGAAAAAGAAAGAAAGAAAGAAAGAAAGAAAGAAAGAAAGGAAAGAAGAAAACACAGTTAGTTATTCTTATGCCATAATAAATGTTATTCCATACCAACTCACCTAAAGCTCAAAAGGTCATGTCATGGATTTCTATGAAAAAATCAAAGGAAAAACTACAATTTAATGCACTCAACCATGCAAATTTTAAAAACTATGCTACAAATAATTTTTTAGTTAGTTTTGGAGTTTTTTAAGTTGAGAAAGTTTGCCCCAGTAAGTTGTAATTAACATCTGAAATGAACAGTAAAAAACATCAAACTGACACAATGAAAAAACATCAAACTGACACAATTTTCCCCTTAGGTATATATATATATATATATATATATATATATATATATATATATATATATATATATATATATATATATATATAAAGAAAACTGGCTGCTCTTCCAGTTTTTACCCCACTATTTTGTTGGTCTAGGCACCATTATGCTGCACATGCTAAATTCATATAACTGAATTTTATATAACGTTATAATGTTTAGCCCTGTGATTGACTGGTTACCTGTCCGGGGTGTTTCTTACCTTCCGCCCAGCGAACGCTGGGATAGGCTCCAGCGCACCCCATGATATGATACAAGGTGTAAAGAGGCCCTTTGTGACCTTAAGGAAGAACTGGATCCAGTTTCAGCTGGTTGAGAGAAGTTTCGGGGATGTATTTACAGAAAAGACTCGGGTGACTACTGACTTCTAGTGTTTGTTAGTAATTTTAGCCCTGTAGCTCCAGCGCTAAACTAAAGAAGGCAACATTTAACTCCAAACATGTCTTGGCTGATCGAATAAACTTGAGGTACGTGAAAATTATGTAGTTTAACTGCTTACAGAATTTTATACTCGGTATGAATACAACACTAAAAATAATATTTTATTCAAAATCACCAATTCAGTGTTGACAATTTCCATATTAATAATGCCCACAACAGGACAGCATACTTTTTATGTCAAAGCATGAAATCCTTCCGCTTTTAAATGTAATCTTTTAGTCTGTTTTCAAATTTATTTTACAAAATGTAAGTTTTATACGGTTTTCCTACATTTCTATCAAACCCTATGCATTATTCAGATCTACAGGCAATATTTGAAGCTGCAATGTGAGTGACTTCACACAAATATCCATTTTGGAGGCATTTTTGACCCTCTATTTTGTCACATAATGTCACACATCCTGCCGGCCTCTACTCACACAGGGACTCCATTTCCCAGAATCCCTTGGGAGATAATGTGACTGTTCAACCTCATCGTTGAACTAATCATCGCTCCAACTCTCCTGAATACTGATTTGTTTCACCTGTGTTACCTGTCATGACTTTCTTAGGTTAATATATAAGCCTGTGCTTTAGACTAGTATAGCTGTGAGGTGAGTGTTTCTCTTGTAGAACTACTGATCGTTTACAATGTGATATTGGTTGCCCTTTTTGTGTATTGGACTCTTTTTCTGGATTTCTGTTCATTGCCTTTTGTCTTTGCCCCTCTGGTTATGTTTGCCCTGTTTTGCCGTTTTGCTGTTTTGGATTTGATCCACACATGTATCACGACTACGATTCTTGCCCATCTCTTTTCTATTAAGGCCTCATCTCTTGGATTTTACCACGAGTGTCTGACTGGGTCTGTCACGTTACACATAATCTTATTCCCGTCTAACTATTTATTGAATAAGCAGAGTTCTGAATCATTAATATATGAACATTACAGGCATGCTATAACTGCTTCATAGGTCAGTATTTTTAAAACATAAGTTTAAACAAGCTAACAAGCAAACCAGCACAATAATGGTCAGTAAAAATAAAATTCTGTATTTGCAAACTAATACTTAAACTGCTCCAGCAATTGAGTTGGCATGGAATAATCCCCTTGTTTAAGAGACACAACAAAACCATCTTTTATGCATAGCATATCTGTTTCATAGTATATGCAGTTCTTAAGCACAGAGGTATTTGAAGGAACACACATATATCAGCAACCATTCAGATATAAAGCGTATCCATTTGAACCATAAATCCACACGGAAAACTCATTTTTCCTCTAATGCTGTACGTACAGATATGTCTTTATCTCTTCCTGTTTATCTCTGTGTTTGAGCAGACGTCACAATTTTTATGTGCCCAACATGGTATTATCCTTGATTTCGATTGTGGTGCTTCCTGAAAGCCAAACAGACAAGCAGAATGGCAGATAACACAGCAAGGCCTCCTAAGAAGCAGCTGACGCATTGCTCTAAAGCTAGTAAAAAAACTGAGAGTGTCAACGGATCCTGGAGTCAATGATGAGATTTAAGTCAGGGATTTCTCAAATGCTTCAAATGATGACAGCGTGACATCTTCAAATCTTACACAAGTAAAAACGCCCTTGTGGAGGTAAATCACCAGCTCAGGGACACAGGAGGGCGTTGGTGGTGACAAGGAAAATGATTTGCCTTTTCGGTAGAGATTTTTTATAATTTACATCAAACAGAACGTCATAACGTGCTATTATTAGACGAGAGACGGCAACATATACATATAACTGACACATAAGGCTGTCCTTACTCTGCTCTTATGTTCTGAACTAATTCTATGCAAATAAACTGGGTGGCAACCAATCAGATACGTGGTGCAGTAACTAATTGTGTTACGCCCAGAATCACGCCGTGAGATTTAATACTGGAGGGCGCACTGAGCAGAAGATATAATGGTTGATATAAATGTCATTATGTTAGATCATTCTGAAGTTACATTTCTTAATTTTAAAAACGCTGCAGTCAATATTAAAATAGGCTGCAATGGGGCTCAAACTATTATTAATTTATAATCATTATTATAAAGTTCGGAACTTTTTATTATTATTACTTTTAGCAGCTGCACTCCTGACGTTGGTAGGTGCTACAGCTGCCTCAGCAGCCCCACTTCCCATGTTCCTGCCAGCCCTAAACAGAGGTTGCTGTACTTCATGGTCATCTTCAAAAAATAACAACATAATAGCAGAACAGACAATTCAGTACATGAAGTACAGCACACACAGTGGTTCCCAACCTTTTCAGAGTCTACTGTTAAGCACTGTGTGGTGTATATAGATTCGCTGTCAGAATGAGCTTTACTTGAGTCTGAGTAAATGGGTAGATGGTACCGTTACTCAACACGATGCTAGCCAATACAGGCATCTGTTAGCTGAGGCAACAGTTAGTGTTCTCCTTCAAGCGGTTAAACCAAATATTGTTACGTCAGCAATTTCAAAAAGATGGCATAGCTCGGACAAAGCATGTGCTAGCTTTTCAGCTTGTTAGCATGGCGATTGATGATTGATTTCAGATTGAGCCTACATCTCTCTTTAGGACAAATGGGGTATTCCACAGATTTACAGAAGGTGAGCAGTAAGTCCTCCACTGACTACACTTTTAAAAATAAAGGAGCCAAAAATGTTCTTCAGAGTGACTCCATAGAAGAAACATTTTTGGTTCCCTAAAGAACCTTCCAGTGGATGGTTCTTAAAGGGAATACATAAAGCTGCACTATGTAAGATTTCTTTTGTTAAAATTGAAAGAAGTAGCATTAATGAGTCATATATCTTTATGTATTAACATCACACGCACAGGCTCAAAAAGAAGGTCTGGCTTGATGTTTAGATCTCAAATGCAAAATTAACATACTGATGAAGATATGATGACAATAGTATATCATCACTTACACCCTCAAAACTTCTCTTTAAATACTCTTTTAATGCCCCCAAATCATCAGATTCATCCTCTTGGGGAAGCGGTCTGAAGCCCAACTGGCATGACAAAATGTTCTTCCGCATATTGCTTTTAATTACACAATTCCTCCAGAGCGGTCTCCAAATCCCCAAATCGTACACTGTGCAGGTTTAATATACTTAAAAAAATACAGGTTCATTTATTGGAAAGTGTACTTTTATGTCAGAGTGTGAAATCTTTGGTCTATATAATATATAAGTTTAATCTTTTGGTCATTTTTCAAAATTATTTTTGCAAAATAATGTTGATGCTTTTCCCTACACGTACTTCTGTAAGTTTCTGTTGAGTTAGCAGGTTTCTATCCTGACTAAACGGTTTTGACTGAATGCTTGATTGACTTAGAAGCATTCTCAATACTAAAAGTGTAAGGTTTAGGATAAGGCTGGCCACATAAACTGCACATCCGTATCTCTTTTAATGGGTCACAAATCAAGGATACCTGTCCAGCTCCCTGAAAAGCAACAGTTTAGGTTTTAAGTATGCTAATGAATTGCTGATTTTGAATTAGGTCTCCATCTATCTTTGAGACAAATGAAGTTGGGGTATTCCCTAATCTCACCGACAACAGGAGGTGAGTAAGGGAGCCAAGGCTAATTAGCAAGAAATTGATAATGTGCTAACACACATAGCCAACAGCACGGGTGAGCTCAGAGCGACATGACAACAAGCTCTTTTCCACATTTACTGGCACAGAAGTGCTCTCCACAACTGTATAATAATTTTTTCAGCTGTTAGCTCTTAGCATTATGAAAATTAAACCATGCTCATTCATACTGTGAGTGCACTGTAAGCCATGAGAATATGTCTGATCAAGCTATTCCTTTTAAACTGCCCGCAGTTTGCTGTTGTGTCTTTGCTCATCTGTGGTTTCAGAATATCCCCAAAATGACTACAAATCCGTATGTTGGTCTGTTGTGTCTTTGCTCATATATGTTGGTCCATGGTAAGTGTGTAAAGGTAATTTCTGAACATTTGGGAGCCATTAGTGACATCCTTTTTGGTGGACCCTTTAACCACCTGCACGCATATCATATTATTTTGCATGCAAGTATGTATACACAGATACATAAATAAATTAATTTGTATTTAAGTTAAATTCGCCCTTTAAAATTTATTTTCTGGCTCACCATTAGACTACTGTTAACATGTATGAGTGTAAACTAGCTAGCTAGTTAGCAACTTAATGTGACTCAAAAAACAGAAAATGCATGAGTACACATGTTTGCATTCATAATTTGCGTGTATGATTTAGGAGGCCCAAAACCATGTTAAACATACTATATGTATACTTGGGGGCCCCCTGGTGGCTCTGGGGCCCTAAGTGATTGCTAGAAATGGCTTACAGCTTGTATAGCTAAAAATGGCTCGAGAAAGTTATCCATAAAACCGTTAGTTAAAACAGTAAATGAGAAGTCAGGCTGATCCTCACCTTATAGATCAGTAAATAGAAACATAGATCTATATAGATCAGTTTTTGCATGTTTTGTATGCAGTAATAGCATAATAATAATCATAATATCTGTATATACACTTGATGGCCAAAAGTATGTGGACACTCCTAATTCCTGAATTCAAGTGTTTTACCCACACCCTTTGCTAAGCAGTGTTTAAAATCAAACACATATCCATGCAATCTCCATAGGCAAACATTGACAATAGAATGGGTCATACTGAAGAGCTCAATTACTTTATACGTGGCGCCATCTTTGCCACAAGTCAGTGTGTGAAATTTCTGCCCCGCTAGAGCTACCCCAGTCAAGTGCTATTACTGTGAAATGGAAACATCTACAAGCAACAATAGTTCAGCCACAAAGCAGGATACCATGCACACTCGGACCGAGGTCAGCGAGTGCTGAAGCGCATAAAATCGCCTATTCTCTGATATAACACTTACTACAGAGTTTCAAACTTCATCTGGAAACAACATGAGCAATGCCAAGGGTTAGTTTGAGTGGTGTAAAGCACACCACCACTGGACTCTTGAGCAGTGGAAATGTGTTCTCTGAAGTGATGAACACTGACCAGGCCTTCGTCCAACATCAGTGCCAGGTCTCACAAATGCTCTTTTGACTGAATGACCACAAATTCTCCACAGACACCCTCCAAAATCTTGTGGAAAGCCCTCACAGACGAGTAGAGGCTGTTATAGCTGTAAAGGCGAGGGGTGGGAGGCAGCAACTCCATATTAATGCCCATGGTTTTGGAATGGGATGTCCAACAAGCTCATACTGGTGTGATAGTCAAGTGTCCACATACTTTTAGCTGAAATATATATATATTCACAAAAATGGGCCTATTTTGCATTACTCATGTTACTGTATTTCATTGCACAGTCTGGCATTTGGTGAAGAACCTTGACTGACAAATGAGTGATGCTTAAGTTATAAACGAAGCATTTATAATCACTTGTGAGGAAACAAAAGAGAAAAAAGGTGGGGGAGAAGAGGGAGAGGTCAACTCCTCACTTACGTTGATTCCTTCCCAGGAAAACTCGGCACGTCCAGGCTGAGAGGAAGGTGGGCAACAAGAGGAGAAGGAAGAGGTAACGTCAGAAGCGCAGGACCACAATAGAAGGAGTGAGATTTCAGTTAGTACAGAGAAAACAATAAAGGATATTTTAAGAGAAGTTGCACCCGGAAAAAGTCATATCTGCCTCATATGTCCGCCACTGACAGAAACTGCTTTGGACAGATATATACTTTCTGCGATAGAGGATGCTTACTTTTTGGTTTTGAACAGCCAGTGGTGTGCTTTGCCAAAGTTTGGCAAATCAAAACCAGGAAATAAGTCTTTTCTATCTTGATAAACATGCTGTATATCAGTGACAACCAAAGCTGATATAAAAACAATAAAACTGCAGGTGAACTTCACATGACGTGACACCTCTAGGCCAAATGTGTTGGCAGAATAAAAATGGTAAAGAGGAGGGAGAAAGAGAGAGAGCAACAGACTGAAACAAGAAAAGACAGCATTGTGGTTAGAAGAAGCAACATCTGCTTACATACATTTAAGGGGAATTCCACATATTTTTCAAAATTTCTGCATGATTAAATGGATAAGATGTAAACAATGTCACTCTGAAGGTACACACTCTCAGAAAAAAGGTACTCGACTATTACTGGGGTGGTACCCTTGTATGTGTAGGTTCACTGCCCAATTTTACTAGTAAATAAAATGTGTTGTAGATTTCATGAGCCCTGGTTCCTATCTTAACCTAGGGGTGGGCAATATGGCAAAAAATATCACATCACAATAACTAAAAACAACTGCCGTCAAAAACTCTGGATACAATGTTTTTTATTCAATGTTTCACATACTGCACTGCACTTAATCCAGTTAATCAGGACTAATCATGTTCTCTATGAAATGCAACATGTGTGTTCTTTAAATATTGATGACATCCACAATATGCTTAGAGAAGCATGTGTATCATAATAACATTAAAATATCATCATACTGCCCACCGCTATCTTCACCAAGGCAAAGAGTCAGTAAATTTCTCTACGCTGCACCATTTCCCACACAACACCTCTGACACCTCCAACTGTTTACATTTTGACCAGTCAATTATGTAGAAATGCTGCAAAATCTCTAAAATTCCCCTTTAAGGCAACACCTAAGGATGACCCACAGGGCCAGGTACTGTGGATCTCACAGAGGTCAAACATCTAGGCGTCCATGGGGAAAGAAGTGGACAAATACTGTATAGCATCAAAGCAACAGCAGCAAGCTTGGAATGTCTTCTGAGTGGCTCTGCCTAACTAAGCATCAATAAGACATGACAACCTAAACACACAGGCATCTATCGATTGCTTATATTGTACCTACGACAGTGAGAGAAACACTGTTGCCAGTAGAAACAGCAAGAGCCTCTCTGTGTTAATTAGGATGGATCGATAGTAAAGGTCAAACAGAGGTCAGCTTCACAGCAGCAGAGCTGTGGGTGAGGCGCCTACTCTAAACATGCAACTGACCTTGTTGGTCAGATCCTCAGGCTCCATCGATCAGACACTTTTCATCTTCAGTCCTTACATTGCTTTCCTGTTACAGATAAATTTGCCTTGAACCCTAAAAGTCCTCTGAGGCATTACAGCCCCCCAGTACTAGACTAATAATCACTGCAGGCGCCTGACACCAGGGGAAAAGTGAACCAAGAGTAAATTTACAACAGCAGGTTATTTTCAGCCTACACTTCGGATACGGTAATTAATGTTTTTGCTGAAAAAAAAAATTGTGGTCACTTGGAGCTGTAAAGGCAATGATTTATTGTGGTGCAGTTTTTAGGGTTTAGTTAACTGGAAAGGCAACGCGACCTTGAGATTTCTTAATGATCGGCTGTAAAACAGCTGGGAATGAGTACCTTGTTAAGCGTCCACAGTGGCTGTGCAATCTTCTGCACGCACGTGCAAATTACTCATCTAAGCCCCTCCACCATCTTTGCATGCTACGAAGGTACCTCCTCAGCAGCAGCCCTGGATGACATCACTCGCTGGCACTTTATCTTTCGCAGCAGCCGTTTGGAAGGGTATCAGGCTCCAAAATGGCTGATTTTGAGCCAATCTCATCTATGTGTGAGGGAGCCAATGGAGCCTGGAGCTGCTGCCCTTGTGCAGGGAAGGTAAAGAGGTGGCGGAGCAGGAAGATGGATGGGCTTGTGTCTCCCAGGAGAGAAAGCCCGTTTATATGGCTGTACTGTACTGTAATGGAGGGCCTCTGGAGGCCAGCTCCTGTGGCCTTGGTGAGAAATTCAATAGTCTCCCTCCCCTGGAGAAGTATTATGTTATATGGGCGTTGGCTAGCACATGTAGGCCACTTGTAAAGACGGTACACGACTCAACTGGTGTCTGTGATGTCTTTAAGTTATTGACGAGCGTATTGACATATTGAAGAGCTGGAGTCAGAATGGTAGTTAAAAGGGAATTCCAGAAATCTTTCAAGATGTCTGCATAATTAAATGGTTAAGATGTAAACAAAGTCAATCAGAGTGGTTGGATATGAAATGTGCCTGGCTGAGTCAGAGTTGGTTACAACAGTGGTGATGGGAATCAGACGTTTGAAGTGTATAATTACTCCTAAAGCTTCCTCACAGAGAAAGTTATTACATAAAATGGTTATGAATAAACTGCCTGATATCTGAGACACTGATTTGCGATAGTTTTGAGGGAAGGTTTTGGCCTGCAATGTACTTTTGAAATACATTCATGGAGGAGAGGTACATGCTTCTTAGACAGGTTCTTAGACAGACTTTCTGACTAAGTTTCACCTTCACAAAACCTAACAAACACAGGGGCGGTTAACTCATTTTACAATGCTGAGAGCACTAAAAAAGTTAATCTGTATTTTAAACAGTAAAATTATATATAGTTATAAATGTGTATTGTTTGTACAGTTTGTGGCAGCCATTGTTATTAGTTTTTAGCCTCTAATTACATGTGTAGGTCCACTGTAAATAAAATCGTAATAGTGTTGTAGACACAGAACCCCAGTTCCTATCACCATCACTGTAAAGAAATCTGAGTTGGTAAGTTTCTGTCAACGACTGTATTAAGCAGACATTTTGGAAAATCAGTGGAATTCTCCTGCAAAAAAATCTATTTAAGCTGGATTAGTTTTGCCTGGGGAGGTGCTAGAATTTGAGTGATTACCGACAAGATCCGTGATTTATGATTTAGTACCAATCTGCAGTGTCCATAGTTTTTAGTCTGCTAAGGAATAATTCTAGAATGAATTACCTTCTATAATTGGATGAACTCGGAGCTCCCTCAGTAACAGCAGTCCTGGTCACATCAACATCACCGTAATGTAATAACAAAACCAAGTAATAAAAAATGGCACCCTTTTTTTTGCAACCTGAAGACAAGGCTAAACGGAGCTTTCTGACCCAATCTCTTAATCCTCAAATTCACAACATGATTCCTGAAATCCACAACAATGAGTGTGTATTCACTTCCGTACGTTACGATTATGCACCAAAATTCGGAAATGTGGTGCCTGTCACATATTGCTGACATAAACGTTGATGTGGTGAAGTTTTGACCTGGACTATCTGGACTATGGGGTAATTTGCAGAAATTATTTTGCCAAGTCAAAACAGGCACAAATTACATTAGCGGACCCCCTCCGGTAATACTAATCCAGCTCGAATAGGGCTTTAGTCATGGACTTACTTGTGCAGCCATCTTACTAGCATAACAGCATAACTTAGCATAACATTTCACCACATTACGCTATTACTAGAATAATAGCATAACATAGTACAGCCATAAGGCAATATTTATTAAAGGGCACCGAAGCCCTTACAGGAAAGTCTGTTCACTCGGCAGCCATCTTTGTAACGCTCCTAGGCAGTTATTTACAGCCATACAAGACCAGACTCATCTCTCTTCGAATGGGGAGAGACCAAAATACTCGAAACCGAAGGTCAAATTAGCATTTCAAAAACATATTTGAAATCATTGATAAAATCTGACTAAAGCCTCATAAATAGTTTGTGGTGTTTGGCTCAATGAGGCCGCTCATGGTGCAACCAGCTCATAACTTGTTGTTTTTTCTTGAGGGGCGGGACTTTCTCCATAACAGACACCATGTTGAGCATTACAAGCTTTCCCATTCATATTTCAACCAGTGACCTTTCTCTTTCTTTATAATGTTTCTGATTTCAGCCAAAAAAGCATACTGGCACAGCTCACGGGAGAGAAAAGTGTTCATTAAAAGTGTTTAATCTAAAAATTGCCCTAGTTTAGCATTATCACATAACCCACTAGAGCAAGAAGTCTTCATGAAATGTATGTTTCCCCCAGATACCTCAATGCGACAACAAGTGAATGAAACTCAGAGGGCACCTTTCATTATTATCTAACACAATGCTAATAAGTCCTTGCTGGGTTTAGTAATTATTAACAAGATTATCATCTCTGAGTTAAAACACAGGCTACCTTCAAAGTGTAATCTGTCAAATCAGCCACAGCCTGAGCCAAACGTATAGGAGGTTAAATGCTAAGTGAATGGAAATTGTTTAACAGGATTTCTTACCTGCTCTCCATCTTTCCTTACGGGAACCGCGTCTGCCGCTAGAAGAGAAGGAGGGGGGGAAGGGAAGATAAATTAGGAGGACAAGCTTACATAACCTCTCTGACTCAAGCTAAGTTGAGCTGACAGCCTCTCGCTGCAATTTTTGCTGACATTCACACAAAGAGCTAAAATTAGGTTAATTATCTTCGCCAAACTGCCAGTCCCCTGAGAGGAACGAGGTTTCTGACATCATGGTAAAATATCGCACCAGGCTAGGAATGATGAAAAGATTAGGCAATTAGACTGCCTGACATGATTATATGATTAATCATACTTGCAAAAATCCTGCTTTGTGGAGACAGACTTCCAACTGATGTTGAGTGAGAACTTAGCAAATTGATTCTGAGATCAAAAAAGATAATAGTGGACAGAACTTCACCGCCCTGTAATACAGAGAAGAATCTGCAGCAAAATGAAAAGCAATCATTACAGTGGAAAATGTGAAATGCAATGCATACATGATGCTACTGTTTCTTGGCAGCATGCAGAATATGAGCCTAAATGAAAAGCAAAACCTCTGTTATGTTGTTTTCATGTCGCTTGACCTCTTTATCTTACAGTTACAACATTAACTCAATGTGATGAATTTTAAATTTCATTTTGGGACGTTTTCTGCTTGTAGCTGTTTAAATGCAATCTTTCACGTGCATGACATTTCACTGTTTTGGTCACAATTTAGTGAGGCAAATACATTTGAAGTATTTCAGGCAACATGAAAACATTGTAGTAGATGTTTTGCTTTTCATTTTGGAATGTATTCCACATGTTACTATGGAAAAGTAATGTCGTGTGCATTGTATTTCACTGTTTTCACTGTTATGACTGCATTTCAATGAGGCAAATCTGTTTGAAGTAGTGCATGAGGGAAAGCAGTATAGCTGTGCCTTCATTACATTTCAAGATGAATGTATTCAGTTCTAACCAAAATTCTGTGTTTCATTTTTTAAATGCAAATCCTCATGTATTGTTTTTCAACAATAAGAGTTCAGGCGATGTGTAAAGACTAATTGTGGTTTTGCTTTTTATTTCGGCCTGTATTCTGCATGAAAAAGTACTGTTGTGTGCATTGCATTTCACATTTGTCCACTGTAGTGACTGCTTTTCAATTTGGTACAAATTCCTCTCCAGACTGTAAAGCTTTAAGACTGTATTACTATTAGTTGCTCTGAATAATGACTAACGAACAGCAACATATTAACACAGCATAATTCAAAACGTTTGAATGACAGACTTGTGACAAAGAGGGCAGCAGGACTTATGAGTAATACACAGGAAAAAAACTGCCACATGCCATTAGCGGCATTACATAAACATGACAAGGCGTCGCTTATGTCGCTCTATTGAAGCTGTTATTTGGATATTGACACAGCTGTGCTGAGTTTTACTGCAAAGTCACACCATAATTGAATCATTTGTAAAAACTTTGACATGTATTTAGTCGAAGGACAGCTGACATATAATGGAAAATAATATAGCAGTGATATTTGTTTAAAGCCCAAGGGGTTGGGTCCCCTTGGGGATCGCTGTGTGGTCCCAGAGGGGGTTGTGAAAGTGGTGCTACAAGACATATACCTTATTAAACACAGGCCATGGAAAACAGACTAATGTGAATTACGAATTTCTATTGGGTGAGCTTGTTACTAAGGAAGAGTCTTGGTTAGCAAAGAGGGGGTCATGAAATATTTTGAACCCAAAATGGTCACACTGTGAAAAAGGTTAAGAACCCGTTATAGAGTATCAATCAGGGATAATCTGGTATAGTTATCAATCATAAATAATGTTTAAAACTTGAAATGAAATTATATGCAAATTAAATGCAAATTTTTGATACTCATAGGAAAGAAATATCAAAGAAGACATCTCCTTAACATCACTGTATTTTCTCCTACTTTTGCTAGAGTCTCCTGCTGCTCAGATGTTTCTCCTGAAAAAAAGACCTCAGTAATCTGAAGTGTCTCCTCTTGAGTTTCAGTAGAAATCTCAATAAAGTCAGACATTGTGCTCTAACTTGCCAAGACACTAATGCTCATGTTCATGTTCAACTAAACTCTCATCTCTCCTTTATCTCTACTGTAACTCATGTCTCTTTTTCATCTAATGCTGTTTCTCCAAAGGACTTTTATGAGAATCACCATTTTTCCTGAGCCATAAAAGGAACATTTGAGCAATTTCGAGCAGTAAAGTGTTCCTCTGAGTATAGTGCCCTCACATTTCACTCGATTACTGCAACCTTCTCACATGAAAAGGGAAAGAAATCCAAGTTATGAAGAATGTAAGTGCACTAAAACAGGAAATATCTCTGCATCCTCTTCATTCTATCTCTCCCTCTCAATTTCTCTTTCTCTCAGACTAATTTGGACCTCTCAGAATGCTTAATTGCTGCTCTGAGCATGTATATGTGTGTGTGTGTGTGTGTGTGCGTGTGTGTGTGTGTCTGCGTGTATGTTAATTGCTGGGCTCTTTCTCTGTAAGTACAGTGGAGCCTCTGAGCCTCAGGGCCATTTCCTCAATCAGCTTCTCTCACCCTGGAGAGAGAGCAGGAGAGCTCAGGAGAAGAGGAATGAAGAAGAAAGTGAAGGATGAACCGGAGAGTGTCAGATAGGGATTTAGACTGTGATAGGTTTGTAAGTAGTTGATTAGAAGCTGTTTAATTACATAGTCAGATACCTGACCTTGGTGGAATATTTACAGTCTTGACATTTACATAAGACTCACATCTTTATACTGAAGTTTGGAACTTCGAAATCAACGTTTTCAAGAATATAAACCTAATTTGTGCACTTAATTGTGAATTTTACAAACAGGCATGCACCGATATGGGCACTGTAGGCCAATCTGCCAATGGCAATACTTAAACCTTTATAAAATGTTGAAATTAAGACTAGATCCAGCTTCATTAGCATTATCGAAAACCATACCATTCATCTGTAGAGGATTAAAAATGCTGTAAAATGAATAAAAAGCAAATATTTTTAGCACAGTAACTTAGTGTCACCTAAACATTCTGCTCATCAATTATGAGTTTGAAATATCTGTCCAGTGTTGTTGTTTTTTTAAGTAAATATCTGCAAATACCAATATGATTGCAATATCATTGTCCCTATTTATAAAATTATTCAGATATGTTAGTCCTGTGAAACTTCATACATTTCAAATACACAAGGAAGCAGTAAACAGACAAAAAAATGGTATTTACAGAATATTGACCACGGCTGTAGATGGTTCTAAAATGACCAAAAACGCTATACAGCATTAAGAATTAGGCTAGAATAAAAGCAGTCAAAATGCCTCATATTTCAAAAAGAGAGTACTCCAAACAGAAAGCAACCTAGAGAATGACAGCAAGTGACCAGTTCAGCTAGCATTAGCCACCATGCTAGAAAAGACCAGCTTAAAGCAGCATGGCTGGTCATTAGCAAACCAGCATATCGTCGCAGTCAAAAGAACAAATCTCTGAAATAGTCATTTTACAGGAGAGGGCAAAAACTTTGTTTACTTTTAATGCAATTTAATGCGAAAAGGTTTTATTCCAAACAATTTTGGAGCATTTCTGTTGGTCTATTTATCATGAAATTTCCCCATAATGTAAAGGTCAGCTGCCATGCTCAAACGATATAGACTAGTACAAATCGAAAACAAATACTGTTTTTCTTTGGACAGCAATGATATATTGTGTTTCTGGTCAGGAGCAATTAAAGTTACAATGCTTACCACCAAAACCAGCACATGTTGTGTTTTGGGTGTTGGTATACTGGTCAACCAGCAAGACCATGCCGGGTGACCAGCTAAACCAGCACCAGACCAGCATAAACTAGTTTAGACCTGCACGGAATGCATGCAGATCTGTGCTTTTTTTCTTACATTCTCCATCCATATTTACTGTCTACTTTTGCTACAGTAGTCTATGAGTTCTAGACAATAACAGCAGATCGGTAGTTCACTAGCTCATGCTTGCAAGCGGTTACCAAAATTAGCATCCCATATGTATTATAAGACATATGGATTTACACTCTTACATTCTTGAACCATATTAACTGTCTCTTTATCATACTAACGTTTCTGAGTTTATAACCAAAACCGAATAAAGCCTCAGTGATCACAGCAAGTAGTTCACTAGCTCATTTAGCAAGTGCTTCCCTATTACCACCAATACTGATATTCATGGTCTCCTCATAATGCTAAAGTCTGAGTTTATAACTCACACAACAGAATACAGCTTAGACAATGACACCAAACTAGTTCACTAACTCATGCCAGCAAGAGATTCCCTAACCTTAGCAGCTTTAGCATCACTGAAACACTTATAGTCTTACCTTGTCCGTCCATATTTACGCTTTTTTTATGATACTAAAGTTAGAGTAAATAAAACAGAAGCCTAGATAACGAGAGCCGCTAGTTCTCTAGCTTGTGTTAGCAAGAGGTTTCCTAGTACTCTGCTAGAAAAACAGTACAGACTAGCATGGCTGCTCACCAGCAAAACCAGCATATGTTGTGATTTTGATGCTGGTATGCTAAACCAGCACAGCTTAGACCAGCATACAATGCAAGCTGATCCTTGGTGTTTAGCAAGGATTAGCAACTTTAGCATTACAAAATGTTTAACATAATCTTACATGGTCCATCCATATTTACTGTCTCTTTATAATACTGAGGTTGGAGTTTATAACTAATACATCAACAAACAACGACAGCAGAAGTTACTCAGCTTGTGTTAGCAAGAGGTTCTGTAGTGTTAGCAACGTTAGCATCACTGACAGACATATGGATTTATACTCCTGTCCATCCATATTCACTGTCTCTTTGTGATGCTACAGTTTGAGTTGATAAAACAGTAAAGCCTGGACGATGACAACAAGTAATCAGTCCACTAGACAGTGTTTAGCAAGAGCTTCCCTAGCGTTAGCAATTTTAGCATCACTGAAAAACGTGTATGATTTATAGCCTTACAGGGCCCATCCCTAATGGACTTCCTGTGAATCTCAAGTTTTGAGATTTGTAA